CATTCTTGTTCTTCTTCTTTTTTTTTTTTTAAGAAATTAATGGGTGTCAAACGGGATGACGCTTTAAATTTCATTTTTACAAAGTTTATGGTTGCACGCCTTTTTAAGAGAGCCCAAGAAATAGGCTGCGATGGTGCATTCTTGTTCTTTTTTTTTTTTTTTGAATCCATTCTTGTTCTTCTGTCCCAGGATCTGACGACATTCGTGGCTAAAAACTGGTGTTTGTGAAAAAATCATGTTTCGGGTTCGAATGGAATTATATTCATACCCATGTTGAGGCCCCAATTCTATGTTAGGAAAGCAGTGCATGGTTGGATTTCTTGGACGAATGGTCTGTAAAGCGTACATTATACACAACATAAGAATGTTATCATTTTGACATGTTTGTATGCTGGGACGAAGACGTCGAACAAGATTAAAGAAAAAAAGTTCCATTTGGTTTGCTGTTGTATACAATACTGTATTGTGTTCCAAATGTGCCATGAGATGAGATTATGCCAGGGCTATTTAGAATGATAATATAAATTCGAGGCATGGCCCCTCAATGCTTCATCAGATCATCTTTCACAGTACATTGGTTGCCGAGATGGAAATTAGACATGGACAACGATATGCTGGTTAATTGCCCTTCACGAGCCCCCTTCTTCTAGTTCTGCAAGTCTGTATATCTATTTTCTTGGTACTCTGCCACCATATTAAATCAGTCATTTCATTGACTATAATGCTTTAGTAGAGGAAACCAACAATCTTTGAACTCTCAATGCCAATAAATTGAAGAAACACAAATTGGAGTATCTAGATTTTCAGCTCATATTCCATATGATTCTTCTCAATCAGATTCAACAATATGCGAGCCTTTAGACATGCCATGGATTTTTTTCCTCCCTGAGTTTTCGAGCCTTTCTGGATTTTATCTTAATCATTAATTGCTTATTTCTCCTAACCTTTTTTCTTGAACGATCCACTTAAAGCTGCTTTAGTCTTTGTCCACTCTTTCATTGAAGCAGCACTCCATGAAAGGGAAAGCTTTGCTTGTAACAATGTCTCCTGGTGATGGTTGATTGAGTGCTGAAGGCACATTCTGCCCAAGTATTGAAGTGGAAGCTGTTACGCCTTGCAAAACTAGGACCCACATGTGGCCCCAACTAGTCTACGTGGCAAGCTGTTCGGGGGCCCCACGTTTCGTACATTGACGGGACGACCCAACTCCACACGGATGACCCCCTTTAAAAAATTTGAGCGACCCCGTGTAGAAGAGGTTTGCCGACCTCATTACACACGAACCCCATGACAATAACCAGTCCAAGACAAGGCAGTTACAAAAATCTTGAACAAATCTTGTGCCACGCAAATGACAAGACAACTTACTGTCACCGTCGAAAACCTATTTGGTCAAGTCCAAGCCTCAGGCTAGGCCGTGTGAGTACCAAAGTAATACTAGCATTTAAGTCTATAATTGATTGATGCCTATGATTCGAAATGTCAATCATGTGGATGAGGCCACGTGCATTATCATTCAATGGCCTCCATTTACCTTATCCAAGTATAAAACCTCACACTTAGTGTCATTCAAAGGTAATGCAAGTTTAGACTCTTAAAGTTATATTCTTGCCGTACATTTAACTCATTCACCCCAAAGCTGACCTCCTTTTACATTGTAGGCTCACGTTTAAAGCTCTCCCACACTCGTAATTATTTCTCCAACTGATTTGACCGTCGGAGTGAGCGCGGCCAACTCCACCCCTTCCGGAGAAGGCCACGTGTGCCTAACGGTTTGTTCAAGTGTGAAGGAATCCAGCTTGCGTGGACATGAGAGGCCTTAGGATCTGTTGGCCATTGGCCACCTCATTGGTACATTTTTTTAGGGTCAACAGAAGCCTCATTATCCTTCTCAATTTTCTTCTTTATTTCATGACTAGATTGCTCATCATTTAAATTGTCATGCTTCTGTTTTTTCCTTGTCAAAGCATCCACGTCAAACTTATTAGAAGTAGTGACAAAATCTTTTTCAACAAAATTTCTTATTTCTTTTTCAACAGATTTATGCGACTTATTGTTTCTCGAAAATATTAAGTTGTTGAACTGTGGTAGCTTCTATTTTACAAAAGTTACACCAGGCAAAACTTGTGAGATACTGAATGAACTATTATGTGTATCACCAACTAGCTGGGTCCAGGAGGACTTCTGTAGCCACGACAGGGACGGATGGAGGGGGGCTGGGCTGGGCTACATCCCCCCTCTCCCCCCCCCCCCCACCAACTGATTTTTTTTAGTTAGAATTTTTTTTAATGTAAAAAAAAAAAAATATTATTATTTTTTTTTTTTACGTATTAGCCATTTTTTTTAGTTAGAATTTTTTTTTATGTAAAAAAAAAAAAAATCATGTATTTTTTTTTTTTACGTATTAGCCCGGCCTGTAATCTGGTCTTGGATCCGTCCCTGAGCCACAAGGCACCTCCGGCTGATTTATCAACAGTTGGTCTTGCTTTATCTGGCAGCAATCATGCTATATAGACATAATCGTTGACATAATGCGACATGGAAACCTATCATTGGACTGTTTAAAACAATGTTTTTTAACCAATCACATCTTGTCAACACCTATTATGTCAACCATTATGTCACCTACTTTCTAACAAAGTAGCGTTATTCATCGGGAAGAGCATCAGTAATTTTTTCCAGCTCTTTCACTTGGCTTGATTGGTTTTCCTTGTTAGTAAAGCTGGGAACAACGATACTTTGTTGCTCTTCTACTTCAGGACCATGGCTTGTTGGTTTCTCCAAGTGCAATGCAGTGCCACCCATCTCACTGCCCAGATATTCTGACTTCTGTGGCAGTGAAGCATCCTGATTTAACTGTGCAAAACCTGATTCCATCTCTTCTGGTTGAATGTTTACATCTGAGTTGGAATCATTCACGACCTTAGGTGGGCTATATTTCGTTCTCTTCCTTTCAGACACATTGTTTCTATCATCTTCATCAAATGGTGTTCTCCTCTCCTTCTTTAGAAGCCACTGTGTCTCCTTTGACTTCCATGCATTTCCCGAGGGCATCTATCATTAGAAGTCTTTAGTTCTTTTAATGTTAAATCCTGGGTAACCACATATAAGAATAAGAAGACAAATTCAATTAAGCACTGGAAGCACATGAGGAATCTCACAAGCAATAAAATGAACCATCCAATCAAGCGTTAAGCTCTACCCAATCAGCAGTAGCTGCTTCCTGTCTCCGATCCTTGAAGAAAACACTTCTATCATTGGGCCGAGCCACCATGTTAATTATCAGGTTATCTTCATCGCTCACTTGATCATCCCCATCGTCATCAACATGCACATTGTTGACCAATGCGCCTGCATTGTTCAGTTCCATTGTAAATCCAGCCTTGGTACGAGTAGCATTTGAGCAGTTCTCTCTTTCCAAAATCTTGTTCATAACTTACTGCATAATGTCAAGCTCTTCCTCATTTACTCCAAAGTTCTCACTTTCATGATTAGAAGCTTTTTCTTTTAACTGTCTCAGCAGGGACAGAATGGTCCTCAGTGTCACAGAAGTGGACAGGTAGAGGAGGAAATTCAACTAGTTGGAAACTATATTTGTGCTTGACAGTTCCTTCGAAAGGCACCGATTTTATCTTCACAAAGATATGCAATAAGAATTGAAACAATATGTCAGTACTTCCACAGATGTGACTCATGCAATAAAACTTCCAAAATTCTGGCAGTGGACTTAATCAGTTTAACTAGCAACCCTATCACATTTTTACAACAGAAATAACACGGTTGCAGTTAATTTTGCCTTTAACCTACAACTAGGACGACGAGAAAAGGTAAGATGTGTAAGAATGGTACATATCTTTTGATGGAATGCAAGCAAAGCTTTGAAAATAAAAGGAGTTACCTTTCTTAGTTTGGGAAAGAAAACTCGGAGCTTCGCTTTTTCCATGCTGGGGTCTTTCTTTGTTTTTTCTGAAGAATGCACGTTTGTATCAACATTCAGGCTGGTCAAATGGACCTGTCAAGCGAACAAGATGGTGTTGCTTAGCCTTCTCAAGTCTCAACTTGCCACCTTTCCACATGCACCCACTATACTGTACAATTACATTGTCCAATGAGCAAAAGCAAGAATACACCGAAGTCGAAAAATGCAAAAACAAGATACTCGTCCTGTAGCAAGTAAGCAAACAAACCACGAAATTACGCGGAGAAAAACAAAAAAATTCAAGAATGCTAGGCCCAAAATTTCAGAAGAGAATTTGGGAAACAACAAAAAATCACCGATTTGATATGTTGAGAGAACACTGCACCTTTTTTGATGATTTTTAAACCCTCTAAAGTCGGTGCTCAAAAAATCTAACAAGCACGGGTTGTTCCAATCTCTTGTAAACGATACAATTCAAAACGGGTCAAAATCGGTGAAAATAAAACTCCCCAGTAGGCCCGGGAGATTTGTCTCTAATTTTGTATTAAGGGCGATTTCTTATCCTTACCTATATAATGATTACAGATTAGCTTAGATTAGATCTACCCCAATGTCTGGCACCACGGATATTGGACATTAAAATCAGAATTTGACAACAATGAATCTAAACTTCAGAAGAATTATTTCTCTTAATCACCAATCATATACCTACCTGCATAAACGCACACAGTGCTGAAGAGCTTGGCAAGACCCTTGTCGGAAGCCGGCCTTTGGTGTGCATTATTTCTACTGAATCCACAGTGCCCAATTGTGGTGAAGCGAAAGTCTTTTTTCAAATCAGCTACTTTCCAATTCAGCCCCAATCCCCCAACATAAATCCTTATTTTGTTCTCTTCCAAATCATTCTTGAATTTCTCCTCCTCCTCCTTCTTGTTCCCGAGAGATTTGATTTAAAACCCTAATCCAGGTCTCAAAATCTCGAACTCATTTAAACGGGAAAAAACTATCGAACAATTAAATTCACTCACAAATTCATATCTTGTTTTCATTTTCGTTGAACCCTAAATCCGAATCATTAATTATGCCTCCAAGAAAAGACATCTGCAGGAATTTTCAACGTGGCAGGTACATTTTTATGCATTTTGTTATGATATTAATTAAATTCCCAGCTTTTCGTCGTAATAGTTATTTTGGGGTGTAATTCGAAACTAAAGTGCATTTTTATTTCTGAACTCTTGATAGTTCATAAGAAGTTAAGTTTTTGATATATTTTTCACCTTTTTGTGTTTTTTGTTAGTAAATTGTCATTGTAATTAAAGGGGCTTCATTTTTTATTATGTTTGGGTTTTAAACAATCCTTTTTTAAGAAAAGACTAAACCCTCGGGATTTCTGCACTAAATTCATATCTTTAAGAGTACATAACTAATTTTAGATTATTTGAAAATATGGAGCTTAGTTTTTGTTTATGGACATGCTTATAAGTTGGAATACTATCTATAAACTATAGTTGACATTATTTCTTTGACTCGGGATCAAAATCAGTTCGGAGATCAAGAAACACGAAACTCAATGAAATCTCTGGTGTTGATGTATGAGTAATTTGCGAACCAATTTGAGTTGTGGAATGGGATGATCTTTTAATCATCAGTAATTTTGTACTACCTTCATGTTTAAAACGAGGGAAAAATAGAATGATTTGTAATGTTGAGAACTCTGCACTCTTGAAGCTATCTCTCTGTTTAGTATAATGCAATACTGTTGTCATTTTGGCCATAGGAACTAGGGTATGCAATTGGCATAATTTGAAGTAATACATTTAGCTCGACGCTTAAAAATTGCAAAGATGCAATGATTATAATGCAATACTGTTGTCATTTAATTTTGGCCATAGGAACTACGGTATGCAATTGGCATCATTTGAAGTAATACGTTTAGCTCGAAGGGACAAAACTAGAATACTTTACGCTTTAGTATGGAGATGTAGTATCCATTGCAAATTGATGCACAAGGGGTTGCAGTTTTGTCAAGAGAGCTACAATCTCCACTTTTATCTAGAATTTATAAAGCATGTTGGTAATGTTGTTCTTGTGCTTTATCAGAGTTGCAGATAATTTTTACGTGATACATATAGAATTGTAGACAATTCTAACTTGTCTCTATGGGTCTATTTGTTCAGTAATTTTCTGCATCATGTAATACTTTGCTAAACTCATGCAGTTGTCAATATGGTGATCGCTGTAAATTTCTACATGTCACGCCACAACAATCACAGCCCAGTCCCTTTGGATTTGGCACGCAAACTGGCACTCAGTTTCAGCACACAAATCCACAACAGCAGAAGCCCAATCCTTTTGGTTTTGGAGTCCAGAATAATGCTCAGCTGAGAGAGGCGAATGATTTTGGATCCAGACCAAATCAATTCAAGGTTCTTTCCTAATTGATTCTAACTTCTTACTGCATCATTCTGGTGTCTAAATATCACTCAATCATGACTTATGTGTTGTTTTAACTCCTAAGGGATTTAGTTACATTCATTATACTTTTGATGTATCCATAATCCATGTATTCACGATCTTGTATTTTACCCTTTATTGTCTTTTGGGATCAGCCTTTTGAAAATAAGTGGACTCGTTTCTCCCCTTCGAATACAAATAGTGCCTCTACTCCGCGGCAATCCGACAGTCAGACTTCCGCACCTCACAAGTAAGTGCACGATCATCAATGAAAGATATTATTTTCTCTGCATCTGTAATATTTCACTTTCATTTTGTGCTCAAATCACATGTAATAGGCTGATTATGGTTTTGATGCGTGTGAAGGTGCACAGATCCCGAGTCTTGCAAACGTCAAATGATTGAAGATTTTGAAAATGAGAGGCCAGTGTGGAAGCTTACTTGTTATGGTCACAACAAAAAGTGTGCACCACCTTCTAATTTTTCCTGATCTTTAACAAATTAACATGTTAAAGTTTCCAGTTTCATAATTCTGTTGGTCGTTTTGTGGCTGAAATGGAGTGTGAATATGTTCATAAATGGCCAATTATTTTGTCTGTAGCGGTCCATGTGACATTGTTGGTGATATCAGCTACGAAGAATTGCGTGCATCGGCATATGATGAAGCTAAGCGTGGGTTGAGCTTACAGTCCATTGTAAGATTATCTAACTCACTTGCTATTTTGTCTTCCCAAGGCAAACTGTCTAGTGCAGTTAAAAGTTGTATCACTTAAAGGCTTATACATGTACACATACGGATATTTACTCTCAAAATTGAAGCAGTAAACTGATTACACAGTATTAGCAGTAAACTGATTTCCCAGAGTGAAATAACTCTTCTTTTCTTTAGAGAAAAAGTTGGGATTTTATCAATCTGCGTTTCAGCTGTTTTACATATCTGTACTTGGGAATGAAATTGTTACGAACTTTAAGATTTCAATTAGTGCTAGCTTTCACTAATATGTTTAATTTGTTTAGAAAATTTCGTGAATTTGGCATTTCATCAGTTTTGCATATCTTTATATTACTAAATTCTATAATATGAATCAGGTTACTTGTTTGATCAGTTTCTTTACTGGCTATTGGTTGTTATCTTGCTGCAGATCGATAGAGAGAGGAGCCTAGTAAATTCCAAGTTGGTTGAATTTCAAAGCCTGGTACAGAAACCTTATGCGGTTTCATCAAATGCCACAATCGGCACTCAAAATTCTTTTGCCAGTGTCAGCCCAAATGCTCCAATGAAAATTCAGAGTGGTGGTCCTCCTCCAGTGTCAAGTTTTGGTCAATTGGGAGCATCAGTAAACACATCTGGGATGTGAGGGATTATCCCTAATGCTGGTTTCTGTTGTCCATTCACTTGTGTACATTTTGCTTACCATGGATCCATTGTGTCTTATTACTTCCCAGGTTCGGTGCTGCACCAAGTTATACCTTTGGGCAATCCCATCCTTTCCAGAGTAACAGTCAGGCATCTAGCATGTTTCAGAGAAGTAACTTACCCGCAATAAGTTCTCACCAGAACGCATTTTCAACTTCAACAATCTCATCACATATTCCTAGTGTGGCTTATAACCCGGCAGAGGTTCTCACCAGTGGGGCTAATTCTGCCTTGGATGTGACTAAAAACATCCAATTGACGTAAGTTGTTGACCAATTACTGTTTATATACGGTGTCCTAAAAGGTTATGAAGAACTAGAACAATGTCGACTTTAATCACAATAAATATTTGTTTTATTAACAAAAACACTTTTTTATGCATTTAGACACCAAGATCACTCAATACAATTCTTCAATTTAATAATTTATCTCACACTTGGCACCTCACGGTTTCCTACAACACATATCTATCTCATGGGCTCACTATCTCTCTTATCATTCATCCAGTTCACATAATACAATTACTCTACTTATTAGGAGTTATATATCTATCGATTTGGACTCCCCATTCTAGACTAATCTTTTAAAGCTTTGTAGGTGCTTCTTATTGAAAGAACTATTCTTACAAAAATTAATAATTGCCTTTTCAGCCAAGGCCATTTGCCTATTCTGAATTTTTAAAATTTATTGTTAAATCTAAACAGCGCACTTTAATGCCAATTCATGTGAATGATTTTAGCTATTTCCTAGAAAATCCATAATAAGTTAAGCCATTTTTTCCAACCCTATCGGCATGTACACATCATGGTTAAAATGATGCATTAATTATTGCTGGGATCAGATAGCTGGTTTATGCGCATAGTTTAGTAGTTTAAACTTTAAAATCATGATCATCAAAGACTACCTTTATAGATTTCATTTAAGTGGTTTGAGAAAATATAGGTCTTTTCATGGGAGGATATTTAAGTTGGATGTCAAAAGAGATACCAATGATAGTGTTTTCCTGTAGGCAGTTCCCTCTATAGCTTATTAGTGTATAGAAATACTTCTATACTAAACAATTGCTAGTAAAATGCCAATAGGAAACTTATAATGGGAGAAATAGAAACTTGAATTGTGTTTTTCATGAGCCTTAAAAAGCTGTAAGGTTATCAGTCTTTTCATAAAGATCTTTCATATTTCTAAAATGTTGAATGCTATCTTTATTGCTATGTATTAGGGTATCTTTCTAAATGTATATGACTAAGCATTTTTTTTTTCATTGATCAACTATTCAGTTTCACAGTTGTTTCTTTACAAACCTCACTTCGAAAAACTCCATCTTGATGATATACTTGCAACTGCTAGAAACAGAGCCAGTTCCAAAAGCATTTACACTAATGGATACACAATTTTCGTGTTTGTTTCTATCAGTTTCCTTGCCATGTCACTATTCCTAATCAATTTACAAAATGCCTTTTGGACTGCATATCATAATGGAGTTGTCAAGTTGTTTTTCGAGAGCTAAGAGAGACATAGGGTGAACCTACATTATGTCCACTGGTTTCAGGTTGAGACCATCATACTTCGAAAAGAGTGCCTATTACATGAATAATACCTTTGCCAATTTTTCCTCGTTACTGGCACCACTTCAAGCACAAGAATTACAAGAAATGTGGTCAAAATTGTAGTTTGATGCATGAAAGAATCAGATTTGATTGACATCTTATAGAGGGACCACAGCCAAGTGTGTAAAGCTAGCCTCGACGCTTATTACTTGGGAATATGTGGCTGGAAAGTGTGGAAAAATATTCGTAACTAGGGATTAATTCAAGTGATAAATTGGAAAATAATTGGAATGCTTAAGAGACCAACATGATGGACAATGATGGGTTATTATGTTACTTGGTAACGGGAACAATGTTTATGGTGTTTTGGAGGTTATGCTGTGCCTGAGATATCTGCTTGTGGGGGAATGTGTTTGGAATACATTTGGCCATGTGGATATAGTAGTTTCAAATAATATTGCAAAGAATATATGGGTTCAAAAAGGCTAAGACATGTTTGATTTTAGCCCTCATGAAACTTTTGAGGTCATCGTTTGATTATTTATATTTGAACCATGTTTTATTTTCATTGATATGGTGAAAAGCTAATCAAGAGTCATAAGTCGGCCACCCCTCTTAAGGAATTTTTAAGATGTCCTGCATTATTGTTAGACACAAATGCGATGCAATTCAGAAATAATTTTATTTCACTCTGTTTTTTTCTTTAATTCATTTTTTGGGCATTTTTGTATTGAATATATATACCATGCGATAATATATTGTTTAACCTTTGATAATTTCATGTATGCTTGTAATTGATCCCAACATGTGTGCAGAAACAACATGCTCAGTGGGAACAGTAAAATGGACAATAGCATTTGGATGAAAGCGGAATGGAAAGTTGGAGAGGTAAGCACTAATATTATGCTGTGTCTGTGGGTTAGCATTCATATTTAAACATCCTTGAATTAGGTGGATCCTTTATAAACTAAGAGCAGAAAATGCTAGATAAATGAACAAGGGATTCACATTGGACACAAAGGGTATGTTTGTTATGCAGTATTGGACATGATAAGACACTACAATAGACAAGCTTTTTTTAATTTTTTTCCCTTTAATATTGTCTAGTAGCGTCTGATCCACTTTAACAGACATGCCCGCAATATTCTTCCTTCCCCTGACCTAGCACCCCAACATGGGCAATCATGCCCGCTGCTAAACAGTATGTGGACACATACAGAAATGGCTGGGATTTAATTGGCAAACAGTTGCACCAACCAAGATTGATCTCAAAACTTGGGTATCATAACACTTTAGATTGTGGAGTGAGAATTGCATTGAGTTCCTAATTTTCCCACAGAAGATTTATGAACTGGATTCACTAAGTAGAACTAAACTACTGTGGGCTTGAAATTGCACGAGTGTGACGTCCATATAATTTTTTTTGCTTACTTGACTTGTCATAAAATTTTGCATTTCGAGCATAGAATTAATTTTTTTTTCCGCATCTCAGATTCCAGAAGAAGCACCTCCAGATAATTTTATCTACTAGAATCGGTTCTAGCACGATGCATTGTAACCATTTACCAGAACTTCCTGTAAGTTTTGTGACAATGTCATTCATCAGCAGATTTCAGGTGTTCTTCCAGATCATTATACTAAAATTGATTCTAGGACGAAGGAATCATAAATCTCGTAATACAAGAAAAGAAGAGAGAGATTTGTTGTTCAGCTTGATTTTTATAAATTTTATGCATGTTCATCAAGAACAGAAAAGCAAGCATGTGATTTCATAGTTCTTTCTTGTCAATGCACTCACCTCACATTAAAGACTTCCCTTTCTTGGCATTGGAGGAATTATTATACTATTTACCAGTAATACTCTATAGATAATGGAAACTTAGATGTTTATTTCTTGTTTGTCACCCAACTTTGATTTGTTTCAACTCAATTGCCTGACTTGCATTTTTGTTTCAGTTTAACCATTTCGTCTTTGATGACCAAAATTAATAGTCAGGCCCCACGTGTTTCATGTGTCATGTGGGACCGACCTTTGGCTTACCCATGGTTACACGTATCATAGTGAAATCGGCGTAAAAATACAACTTTAGTGATCAAAACGGAACAAATTGAAGTTGAGTGATTAGACTGATATAAAGGTATATTCTTCTTGTTAGCACAACCTGTCTCGTAAGGAAAGAGAGGGAACAAACAGCAAAAGGTACACAAATTCTTGAAAACGCGTTTGAAACTTTGCTTTAAAATGATAGAGAATGAAGCTGGAAAAGTCTTAAAAGATCGTCCAATCATTGTATTGTGGGTGCACGTTTAGTCTGGCAATTTACAATATAACAACAAAAGTCTTCCGTTTTAAAATTAGAGTGTGTTTGGGAGCAATTTTTGTGGGACTTTAATCAAAATTATAGCCGTTATAGTCAACATGTGGGCTCCACTCGTGAGACGGAAAGTCAAAAATGATGGCTGATTTGATAGTTAACGGCTAGAATTTTGATTAAAATCTTGATTAAAATTTCTCCCAAAAAGGGCCTTAATCTCTTACAAGCTGTCGTCAACAAATTCATAGCTTAGATGCTCCGCACTTCATATCAACTTATTTTTTTGCTTTTTCTTTGAACCCATCAAGATCTTCTCACCTAGCAAAGTTCATATTTAGTGCTCATTTGGTCAAATTTCAATTTTAAGTATACATTTTGTTGAACCTACAATTTTATCGATTTTTCAACCGTACATTAAATCAACTTTTATCAAAAGTTATGTCAAGTAGTCCCCTATCAAGGAAGGAAGCATGTATGCCATACTTGATACAATTCAGTACAATTAAAACGTTACTTGTAAGTCATGTTTAATACATTAGATTGAGTCAACATGTAACTCGTCGTTTAAAAATTTAGTTTTGTAATCGAGCATTCTAGTGATGGAAAACATATATTTTTTGGTCTAAAAATAGAAGTGAAATGTGTAGAAGGGAGTTGAAGTCTTGAAGATGAAGGATGAAGACAAATGAATTTGCTTATTGTCCTAAGATATTCACCGACGCGTATTTTATATCCTTCCCTTCTGCGACGTGCCCCCTATCACAGTGTCAATGAAAGCAGCACGTAGAGAGATTAATTTATTGATTGACAATTCAGTTCGACTTCAGTTACTATTTAACTAGTTTTGGTTCTTAAAATCAATTACTGAATTGTTATGGATGAAATTACTCGATAATATACTATTAAGACGTGAGCTTTCATTTTAAAATGTTTACTTTATAAGAGAAGTAACTCGAATTCTTGTAAATTAGCCGATTTAGGATTAAACTTGAGGTCCTATCTTAAAGCGCAATCTTATTAAGATGAGTAATATACACTCTTATATGTTGACCTTTTGATAATTGGTCGATGTGGCTTTACTATACCATATCAGATCCATCTAAAATCAGTCGATGTTTGGTGTTAGGGGTAGAATTCTCAGTGGTATCGATTCGGTCTAGTTTTATCTTAACCGAAAAAACTTAATTACCCCCACCCCCAGTCCCTTATAGCTTAGTTGTTTATTTCCAATAAAAAATAAAAATTCCAAACCCCTCTGGCAGAGAATAATACTCTGTTTGCAATTTTCTAATGAAAATTATAGGATGAATCGCATCCTTAGCGGCCCCCACCTGCCCTGGGCCTTGGTGAATGAGGTAAATCGCAGGTTATGCCTCTAATGAAAATTAATACAATCTAGTGTGGCGTTTTCTATTTTTATTTTTTATTGAAAATCATAACACAAATCATCTTAATGGCACCCATAAAGTAGAGGGGCTGTTGGATTGAGGCGAGAAGCCAGCCTGTGGCTATTCATTCATATACAACAAGAACACAGACCATTATTGGCATCTCAAAATATTCTTTTTTCTATCGTTCCATTTCTCCTTCTTCTGAATGTATTAAAATTATTTGCTTCAATGAAATCCATAGTTAAAAATCAGAGGGCAATGCTGCATTTTCAGCATAACCCAATTTTCTTGATTCTTGCAGTAATTTTCTTGTTATTCTCTCAAATCTGTGCTGTTTCAGCAGCAGAAAATGTCATTGATTTGGATGATATTGATAGAGATGTGAAGAAGTTAACGTTCGAAAATCCAAGTATTCGACAAGCCTACATTGCTTTACAAGCACGGAAACAGGCTATTTTTCTGATCCTTTCAACTTCGCAGCAAACTGGACAGGTTCTGATGATTGCTCCTATGGTGGAATCTTCTGTTCCCCGTCTCCAATGAATACGTCCATGCGAGTCGTGGCTGGGATTGACCTAGACAACGCAGACATAAGACATTGCAGGGTACCTCCTGGATGAGCTCGGGTTATCAACTGATCTGGCCCTTTTCCACATCAACTCTAACAGATTCTGCAGTGTGATTCCGAAGAGTTTCAAGAGAATGAAGCTTCTTTTTGAGTTGGACGTCAGTAACAATCGCTTCTTAGGGGAATTTCCTCAAGTGGTTCTGTCATTGCCTCAACTGAAATTCTTGGACCTCAGGTTCACCGAATTCGAGGGACCTGTCCCCACTAGGCTTTTCGACAAACCCCTAGACGCCATTTTCACGAACGACAACAGATTTCAGTTTGGAATACCAGAAAATCTTGGAAATTCTCCGGTTTCTGTTTTGGTATTGGCTAACAATAATCTTGGGGGTTGCATTCCAGGCAGCATTGGAAAAATGGATAAAACTTTGAATGAAGTGATTTTGATGAATGATAATCTAACTGGTTGTTTGCCTCCAGAGATTGGGATGCTGAAGAAATTGACAGTATTTGATGTTAGTTCCAATAATCTCCAAGGGCCATTGCCTTCGGTTATTAGCCGTATGAGGAGCTTGGAACAGCTAGATGTGGAGCACAACCGCTTCAATGGAGAGGTGCCCGCCACCGTGTGCCGCCTTCCCCAGCTGCTCAACTTTACTTACTCATTCAATTACTTCACTAAGGAGGCTCCGGAATGCATTAAATTTGGTGGAGGGACAGTGTCCGATGGGCGTATCGGGGAAGAGTGATTATAGGTCTGTTAAAGAGTGCTCATCTGATGCTGCTAAGCCTTTTGATTGTCGCAAGTCCGCCGCCGCAGGATGAAACCTAAACCAAGGAAGAGGCCACCAGTTCAGATAAAGCCGCCATCTCCAAAGCCATCTACTGGGCCAAGACCTTTCCCCGAAGCTTGTTTCGCCACCTCCGCCGCCTACTTCAAGATCTTCACCATCTACAAGATCACACCCTTCACCACGTCCAACTCCAACTCCAAAGCCAAAGCCAATGCCAACACCAACACCAACACCAACACCAACACCATCTTATCATGCACCACCGCCTAAACACAAAGTCTCTCCAGGAACTCAACTTCCACCACCTCTGCCACCACCTTACCCGATGCGAACCCGGGTACGGGATTATCATGGAAATCGCGGAATTAATTGAAAACGCCGGGAAAGCCCAAATTCAGGTCGTAGACGGTAGAATTTCAACCCGCAAATTATTGAACCAAGGAACCAAACAAAAACAAAGTTTGAATGACCTCTTGATTACAAAACCAACGAACTTCGATTTGCGAATGTCACAAAGGGTGTCTAATCCTTTGATAAGTTCTAAGGGTTGAATGCCACAAATATAACAATATTTGATAAATTCGGTACATGTTCAATCAAGAACAAAAAGAGAGAAATCTCATTTAATTCATAATGTCAAAAATATTCTTTTTACAATAAAAATAAAGTTTCATATTTATACTAAATTTAGGAAATAATGGAAAAACGAAAATATCACTTAAAGATTATAAGAATCTTACCTAAACTAAAATTCTAATAAAATAAGGAAATTCGGGTAAGATTCTCGGAAAAATTGTTCTCGGCATGTTTCTGTGCGATCTCAAGCCCAAAAGTATTATGAGCTCCCGTAGCTTTGTGCAGAATTTCGTGTCATTTCCAGAATGTACTCATTGGTGAAAATCCGATAACCGAGCTGAAAGTTATGCCCGTTTTCATCCAGGCTGCTCGTTTTCTTTCCAAATATCTTCCAAAACTTGAATTCAACTCGTTTCGGCTCCGGAGCCCTTCATGAAACTTGAACCTTGACTTGTCAACTTCTTCAATTTGGACTTCAAAACTCGACCAAGTGATTGCCTATCCCGGATTATATCATTACCACCCTAAGCCCACAAAGCTCACTTCCACCCCCACCACCTTAGCATAAGAGCTCACCAAAGATGCATTATGCACCGCCACCGTCACCTACGCCGCCATCGCCTTAGCATAAGAGCTCACCCAAGACACACTATGCATCACCTTCACCACCATCTCCACCAGTTTATGAACACGTGACACCATCACCGCCTCCACCACCCTCTTCCTCACCTCCACCTCCCTACACATATTCACCACCACCACCTTCTCCCTCACCTCTACCACCCTACATATATTCATCGCCACCTCAACCTTCATCATCACAACCGCCGCCATCTCCTGGATGCTATGAATCAACATTACCTCCGCCACCTCCTCGTGTATATTCATCCCTGCCACCACCCTCGCCATCACCTCCACCTCCCTACACATATTCATCCCCACCACCACCTTCTCCATCACCTCCCACACCCTACATATATTCATCACCCCTTCCACCTTCTCCATCACCACTGCCGCCCTACATATATTCATCGTCGCCGACACCCTCATCATCACCGCCTCCACCATCCCCTGGATGCAGTGAATCAACATCACCTCCACCACCTCCTTATGTATATTCACCCTCATCATCGCCACCTTCACCACCAGTGTATGAAAACATTCCACTTCCTCCAATTGAAGGAGTCTCCTATGCATCTCCTCCACCCCGTCATTCCATACTACTGAAATGGTGCCCAGTTATAGTCCATCCTATACTGCCATCTTTCTCCTCTCTTAAATTCCAAAAGGGTGTTCCATAAAAACATAAGAGACAATTCTTTTCTGCAGTTAAAGGAAGTGTTTGTGCTTCTGATGATATGTTGGAGGCCTCCTGCTTCAACAATAACTAGCATAGTTCTATTTGTTAATTATCTACACAATTTTTTGCTGTTTAATAATTACACAAGTTTTTATTGTTCATAATTGCAACTTACATTCTTCAAAAGTCATCTTTTATTGATGTACAACAGTTACCAAAGTTTTTCTGGTGGTGAAGACAAATATGCAAATCAACAAACACTCCCCAAGAGTCTCTCTCTCTACCTTGCAGTTCTTGATGATTATTTATTAAAATCCATAATATCTCCTAACATATAAATAAATAAAAAAAGAATAGAATTTTTAGGATGGGGGACATAAGACCTGAAATCACACATACAAAACATAAAAGGATATAATAAAGGATTTGTAAACTGAGAATGTTGCACGTGAATATTCTGCTAGAGTAATGCAAAGTAGCCCCAATGGGATTGTACCCCAGTCTAGGTGGTGGTGATGTAACATTGAATGATAAGGGAAATTAAATAACTCATATAATTTCACTTTTCATTTGGCCTATCATTTAACGCCACCTAGGTTGAGGTTGCAATCCCAGTTGGGTTAAATAACATTACTCGTTCTACTACAACGAACATTCAAGAACTGATGAAAGAAGTTTTAATGAATTTGAAAGAAGTTCTATTAAGAAGTAATCTACATGGAATTTGTGGTTCGGTATTTATGGCTAGTTTGACAAGACTTCCGCTTTCTGTAGAAAAGTTTCATGAGAGAACACTACTTCTACTTAGTCTCTTAGTCTCAAAAGTAGCTTTTGATTTTTCAAAAGCCATGGCAAACAAGCCCTTAGATGCATTACAATTGTTTAAACTGGCACCTTAGCAAAGCTTTGATACATAATCTCATCACTGTTGCATTATTGACATCATAAAACACTGCATCATAGTTGCATCTTAAGTCAAATGATGAATACTTTCAAGTTAGAGATACAACGTGTTGCTACCTTCCAACATCTGTAAATATTGAGTTGAGTTATTATTTGTGTCCACATATTCACTCAACAGCAAATGCATTGCCATATGAAAACAAATATGCCATTACCAGCATTGCACCCCAGAAACACCTATACAGCCTACGCACGCTGAAGTCAACTGGCACTGGATAGTACATCACCGAGAATCTTTTTCTTCCCAACAAATGAAAAACTAACCATCTTACAGTTCCAAGAAAACTGCACAGAAGCCTCTGTCTTTCCAACGAAAACACGAGTAATTCATGGGAGTAGTAATGTACAAGCAAACATGCCACATAAACTTGAGCTAATCTGTCGCTCGTTTTTCTTCTTCATTATAATTTATCTCAGTTATAAGAGCTTTATCCAAAGCGGATCACAATGCATGATATATCATCTTTGCTTTTTCTCTTCAAAGCCTCCGTGGTTAAACGCTTTGCTGCTGCTTGAGGATTTTTAATGGATCTTACCATATTGACAGCCTCTTGGTTACCCATCACCTGCCAATAGAGATCACCGAATAAATTTCGTTTAACCCATGAGTTTGGCAAGTGCTTTGTTTCCATTGACGGCTGATACCAATTTCTTAACACAAGTGAATATATGAGCACAGATGGAGAACATTATAGTTGACTTACGCAAGGATAACATGATTTTGCATGTACTAAGAATGGTATGAAATCTTTTTTGTTCATTGTGTGGCTCATGGTCCACGGTGAGTTGTCTGGCGGTTCCAATCTGGCACAAGACAGCTCTGGAATCACCAATGTTTGCCACCCATAGATCTTTCCCATCAATAACAATAGCAGTTACTGCTGTGGACCCACCAGGTCCAAAGTGCATGGAATTCTCTAAGATAACTTTATCAGTTGAGTGGTAAGCATTTTCTATAGCACTCTTGGGGTCTATCCAAAAGCGAGGCTGTCCATTGGAGTAAAAACAGAAATATAAGGAGATATTTTAAAATCCTCCAAGTGCAGGAATAATTGGTCATGTTATCACTTAAACAAATTCGGTGAAAAGGATAAGCATCAAGGATTAGTTAGAATTAGTTAGATTTTCATAGCGGTAAGCAAAGTGTCGTCTATCTCTTAAGTGCAATTACATATTGTTTCAAAAGAAAGAGAATAATTACATATTCATCTTGGAAGATTACATTTTAGCATCTTGTGAAACCACCTAAAAGATTAAGTTGTTAGAGAAAGTACATATTTAGTTATTTAAATTTAGTCTTCTAACATACCCATCGAGTACATGCCGAATTCAGTTTTTTTTATAATGAAAATCCAGACAAGAGCACAATTTCCATACATGGGTCACCGTGAGACTTGAACTCAAATCTTTTGCCTAATTTGATACTATGTGAATCTACCTCGTCTAAAAAGAGGGGTCACGCTTATTTAATTATCTTCAACACATCTCACTATGAATGTTATATGAACGAAGAGATGCAGGATTGCTTTTTGTCAGTAGGTCCTCTAGCTGCACAGGTGAATAACTTTTAAGTCGGGGTATTCATGATAGAAATTTCATTTATATGGATTTTAGTTCAGTTAGCTGATTAGAATACGCAACTAAACGAAATAAGTTGTCAGATCAAGTGTATATTATCTCATTCAACGTTCTGAATCTGTGGTCGTTTCTATTCTATGAAGGCTTTCTCTTCTGAATTCTAACAAGCAAAGATACACAGTTTGATAGTTACTCCTAAATGTGGGGTTTGCATGCAAAAGACCTAAATGAAAAGTGCCTCTCTAAGTTAGATGAATAAACTAAAATAGTGTTGAAGTGGAATCCAGGACTGCGGAATATTAAGAGGGTCATTATTCACCAATTTTAGTACAGCTGTGAGGAGTTAGCTGAAGCTAAAGTGCTGCAGATGAGGACTAAATTAGCATTGAAATAGAGTGCCATGTCAAGGCTCCTGGTCTTTGGTTTGTTATTTCTATTATGATGAATATTTAACAAACTGTCCTCAGTTTAACCCTCGATACCTCCACAATTTTTGAGAAGAAAAAGAAACATCTCATTAACTTGTTCACATGTTTCTCTCATCATCTATCGTACCAAGAGAAGCCAACAGAACACTGCATGTCTAAAAAAAATGTTCCGATCTTGAATATACTTAAATAATTTTAAATATGCTTTTTGGGATGAGTCATCATGATTTCATTACATAAATAATGCAGGTCCTAAAATTACACTTTCCCCTCATCAAGTTTCAGGTTAAAAAATTTATCTTGAATGCAATTCTCTCACTACCTAGAATCTTAAGTTGCCGTATTATTCCTAAATATGTATAATTATACATGATAAAATTTCTATTAGCACAAATATCTTCTAAAATATGAAATTTTATCTAAAACTATACTCCACTTTTCCTAAATACTTTGACTACAACCAACCCCACATTGTTTCAAATTTTGAAAACATCATTCTCTAAACATCCCAATTTCAACAACAATCCATACCATAGTCCTATGTTAATTCTCTCGAACTGCATTCAAATAAGATAGTAATTAAGACTTGCTTAGAATAATTAAAGTATCAAAGAAATGGAAAAAAATAAAAAAAAATCCAGAGACTGAAACATACCTCTTCAAGTATGTTGTTAAAGAGGTTGTCCTTTAAATAACTCGGTACACGATCACCAAGGTGACCATCAAAAATAGCGAACAAACCGAGCATATGCCCCTTCTTTTGCCTGTACTCAGCAACATGATAGTCCTCCATGACATGACCTGATTGACCTCCACCAAATGGAACCCATGTGACACTTTATTACTACATGACGATGACTTAAACTTGATCTCCCCTTTTCCTGTATCTGGTGAAGATCCATGCATACAAACAGCTCTCTACAAAACCCGCCCAAACAGAATTAACAAGCATAAATAAAGGACTACTCTAGTCTCTATACCACTACTCATCATATATCAAACATCCGGACGCCACTGCGGAGTAAAAACTTGCATTACATGGGATAATAAACGAACAGTTAACGTGCAGAAGATATAATTCATAATTATAACTGAAGTTTCGTCATAAAGTTCAGTCGAGTCAAAGCGGCTTATATGGAACAAACCTTAGAACAAAACTACAAATCATAGCAACTCAATTCAATAACAAGTTACAAATTTAAACCAGAATTCTTGTCTCCAGAAACGTGCAATGTTTAAAGGGTACATAAAAGAATACCATAATTCACTTGTAGTCAGGTCATAACTTAGTCTTTTACTTATATACCTTGATGATATGAAGACAACCCCTGGAAGACGAAGACCGCCTTTTCTCCATTTGGGACTGTGAAATAACTAATTCTCATGTAAAATCATAAACAGAAATTCTATTTATTGATTTTATGCAAATTTGGTCAACTTCTTGATCAAAAATCATAGAACAGAAGAAAAGGATTTGCTGTTCTTCGCGTGCTATTGTGTTTTTGGCAGAAAATCAAAATTCTTTAGGTGAAGTCTTTGCAGTGTGAAATGGTGGTTTGTTTAGTCTCATCCTGTAATTCAAGAAAATTCAACGGAATTTCTTGTCTGTATTTTTTTTTTTTTATTTATAAAAAATATTTCAAGATTGTAGTGATGTTGGGTGCAGAAATCGACTAATTAGTTGAAAATTTCCAGAAAGTCAAACGGTGAATTCGGTTTTTTTCCGTTTTGACCCCTCAAGATTCGATAAATTTCAATAAAATCCCCTATTATTTAACAAATCAATTGATAACTACAAAAGAGATAAAAATAAAAACCATTGCTTATACTAGATTTAAATCGAATAATTCTTTAATATATAGATAAATAATTTAATATATTTAAAATATTACTCGAATAAAATATTTTTATTAAAATGAAAATTGAGCTAAGTGCGGACTTCAATATAATCTTAAATGGTTGTTTCATTCGACATTGAGAGACGAAAGCTAAGGGAGCGAATGGGATTAGATAACCCATTAGTCCTAGTCGTAAATGATGGATACTAGGCGTTGTGCGTATCGACAGTCGGACAAATCAGAAAAGTTTGGACAGAGCCGGATCTAAGCGTTGGCTACGTGTGTGTATGGTTAGTAATTAGTCTAACCATCTTCTTGTTTGACTTTGCCATTAATTTTAATAGGAATTGAGAGTGTGTTAACATAAAATAAATTACAAGTTTAGGGATCAATTTGAGACAACCAACAAATTTCAGTGGCTCTGATGAGATTTCACTAAAGTTGAGAGACCGCATTGAATTATACTGAAAATTATATAAACACATGAATAAAAACAAAACAAAACCGAGTTATCAGAGTGCAAATTCTCTTTGATCAAATCGCAATCGGAAATCGGAATTGAAAAAGAATCAATGTCAATGGAGCCCCCTCCATTCGAAGAAGCCTCGCGCTGTAACGTCTGCAAATGCAGCTTCACCACCTTCCGCCGTCGGGTACTCTTTTGTTCATTTCTTTGATTATTTTCGTTTGTTTCGGTTTTTTTGTGTAATTAATTGCATAGCGTGATTTTGATAATTCATTGTATATTGGAATTCGGATCGTTTGCATCTGGATTCTTTTTTTCCTTTTTCATTCTTTTTAATTAATTTAGAATGAGGTGATTGCACTGGATTACTGAGTATGTTACTGGGATTTATGGATAATGATCTAGTGGACTGAAAAGTTATTTTATAGTTTGGTGGAGTTCTAAGTTTGTATATGGTGATGCTTCCCGCAATTTGTGTAAAGGTTTAGTTTTTGTGAGTAGTTTAGGACATGGCAGATATTGTGTGATGAGTTTGGAGTAAGATGAAGGGGCTCAACGGTTGTTGAGAATTTAACTGGCGAAGTACACTGAGGAGAGATGAAGCTTGTAATGGTTATTGAAAAATGGGGCGTGTATTTGAATTGTTGAAAATGGGAGATACAAATTACATGCTTGAATTTGAAAAGAGAGATAACCCTCACCAGCAATGAATTATGATTATTGATACAAATTATGATTATTTTATTTTTATGTTTTTGAACTTAAATCGTATTTAAAAACATAAAAAGTATTAGAAAGTAAATAATTAATTAAATGGGCTGGTAAATGGGGATTTTTAATCCCTGCCTCCCAAAAATCCCCGATGGGGCGGGAAGGTAATAGTCGCCCCAATCCTCCCCGTTGACATTATTCATATTCATGAAAAAGTTTGGAGTTGCACTATAGGTTTACTAAGTACACGTTACAAAATATAATCCAGTTTGATGGCATGTGCTAATCGAGGCTGGAATGAAAAGTCTCATGAGCGTTGAGCACCCAAATTTAGGAATCAAATCCAAGAAGATGTATTACACCTTGAGGTGTAATATCTCATTGTTTCTCTTTAACAAAAGGAACAGTTACTATATCTTGGTTTTGAAAGGAATCAGTCTTGGCATCTCGCAACCAAGCAAACTTAAAGGCTGACTGAACCCAATGATAAAGGAGATATGTCCAATCAGGTTGGAAGGATTTGACCATGTTTTTTTCCTGAGTCAATTATCCTTTAGCAAGTTTTGAGTTCTATTATCAAGGGGGAATTGACTGTTTCGCGGAGAAGAAGCAGCTGAGAGGGAAACTTGAAACACCAGATAGGTTCCATGTTTGCCCTGAAGTGTATTTTTTGGTTCAATGTCTATTGATGTAACTCTTAATGCAAGGCTGATGAAGGTGCCAGATAATAGATCATCGTTTTTATATTTTATAGTGAACATGCACGGACCTGTTTACATGAAACTGGAGAACTTTTTCATGTGCTCGTATTATCTCCTAGTGATGAGACGGACATAATCTCTTTTAAATATCTATTTGGCTGTTTTTTTAAATCTATATTTGTACCAATTATTACCTTCCTTATGTCTTGTCATCTTTCCCTCCATTTTTGCAGCATCACTGCCGATGTTGTGGCCGAACTTTATGTGCTGAACATTCATCGATCCAAATGGTATGCACTCTATATACTCATAAATATGTGTGCCTACGTATGGAGGTATGGTGTACACATAAGCGTCCATTTGGAAAAATTTAAAAGTTATTTATAAATAGTCAAATTTCATTTTCAACAACGTATACCAATGGACCTACAAGTATAATCCACTACTCATTTCTATCTATTTAGAAATTAAACCATTCTTCAATTCTCCCCAAACGGAGGCTTAGATATTACGTAATTGATTTCTCTAATTTTCTCTCCTTTTGTTCAGTCCTTGCCACAATTTGGTATTCACTCTGATGTGAGAGTATGTGCTCAATGTTTCAATAATGCCTCCAGGTAATTTTCCTTTATGTGAGAGAGTGGATTGATTAAGCCAGAATATATGTTTGACTTTCTAATTTATCGAATGTATTCCACTTATAGATAGGAATAGGCCAATGCAAAATAAATATTGCTGGAAACAGGGGGCAGTTAGCTTGGTCGATAGATGTGTCAGGGGCCTGTTTGTGGGTTTGTCATGGGCCTGTTACTTCGTGGATGGGGCCTTGGACATGAGGCTTCCTGATTAGCCTAATTGACCTTGTCTATTTTGTTAACAGTTATCTATAGTCTGGTTATGCAGATAGTGGCTTGTTATCCATTGGGTAGTTAGTCCTTAATGCAGTAGTTGTATTGTGGGTCGTTATTTGTTGCTTAATTTCAGTAAGTAGTGGGCTGTTGGTTATTTGTAATGCTATTTAAGTTGCTGTTATTAATGAAAACTTATCCCAGAATTCTATTCAAGACTCGTATTAGGAGGACTCAGCCCCCTTGAAGTGGCTATCTAATAATTTTTGTTAACTAGCCCATTACAAGATGCAGTGCTGATGTCGCACTTCTCTTAATGAGTCTGTCCATTTGAGCAGTCTGTCGGAAAAGGGTTTAATCCCTCCCTTGATAATAGTAACTTTTCATCTATGGTAAGAGCTGAGCTCTTCCGCTAGCTTACTAGCTCTGGTAGTAAGGCTCTTCGGTGAATAGTTCCACTGGAAACTGCTTCCTGTATCACTTTACATTTGTATAGTTGCTCTGCTTTAAACCCGCCTTTGAATTGTATTGTTAATCTCGCCGTACATATTTTGGTCGAAGTTATTTTGTCTTTTTGATTTTTTTTTCAAGTATGATTCTTGCTTATTTCTCTAGCTTTCTCGTGGCACAACCACAGTTTCTGCGGAACTTTAAATTCCTTTTTTACCATCACTTGTAGGTGAAAAGGTTTTGTTTTTGACATTTTCGTTTATCTAACTTCCTTAATTGAACAATGTACTAATAGATCGAATAAAGATGACACACCAGCTTCTTCAAATGGAGTTAATGCTGTAACAGATTCAGTTTCGAGGTTTGATATCAATGTAGTTACAGATACCAAATCTGAACCAACAGCTGAGAAACTACCAGTTCCTGGCATTTTAGAGTGTAAGTGTGGAATGCCTTTGTGTATTTGTGAAGCGCCAGCTCCTCCAACTGATTCTGTTTCCCTACAGGTAAGTGCTCTCACGTGTCTAGTAATTCATGTTGAGTGAGCACTGTAGACCTCAGGAAATTCATTTTATTGCAGCAGGTAAAAACTACTCCCATTCCCATAGTTCAATCGAATCCAAAACCAAAGAAGGCAGACCCAACTCCAAAGAGCAGAGGCTCAACATCAAACAGCAAATCCAGGTATACAAATGTTCGTTTAGGTTGTCGATCTTCTCCCTAGGTCCGTCTTGACATACACATTTCGTGGAAAATTAGCTTTTGTGGTAAATTATTTAACCTATCTTTCTGTTGGGCATTGTGATGCGTAAGATTGACCAATAACAACAGCTGAATCTATTCCCATTAAATTTTGATCGGCTACATGAATCTACTCTAACTACTAAATTTAGAAAAGATTTCAGAAAAAAATTTATTGTTTATTTACATTTCATTACTCGATTTATGGTTTACCATGTGGTTTGGTTTTCAAGTAATGTAGGATCTAATAGTTGTTTATGTCCAAGTCATTGTGATCCTTGATATTATGTTTCCATCTAAGACAAAATATTTAGTTGACAACTTAGAGTTTTAGCTCTTCATTTTCCTAAAAATCCATTTTTGTAAGTAGTACTTTTTTATCAGTTATGAATTTGGTTATATTAAAGAACATTTTGGGCTTGCTACCTTGGCTTCCTTTTCAAGAGTTTAGTCCTTCATTACCCTCTGAGAAATTACGCATCAACATGGATCGAAATAAGTTTTACTTGTTAGTGCACTTCCCCCTGCATCACATTAATTTCTAGCACGAATTGAAATTGGAACTAGAGTTGAACCTCCAACGTTGTGGAAGTATGAGGAGTATATGGAATAGTGCCCAAGATGATGGCTTTGAAGCTACATGAATTCAGAATCTGACATCCGTGTTGGTGAGGCAAACAGAATAATGCATTATTGTCATCCCCTATGGAATTTGGAAGCACATAAGCTTCTAACAACATGCTCATGGTGACATAAAAGGTGATAAAAATTTGGTAGTTGGCCTATGATTTGGCCCAAATATATGGGAATTTGTGACGCACTAACGCTTGCAAAAAGGACAATCAGGATGTCTATCTTCAACAATGACATTTCTGTTAACCCAGGAGATAAACATGACAAGAAGTTCATCCCTCTAGTTTTGGGTTCTGGGAGCACAATATGAAATGAATACCAAATGATTCTCCCTGAACTGGAATACAAAACCTTGCAGTTACTATGAACATCACTATAATATACATCTGTCATAAAGAATTTCATGGTTGAATGTAAATTATGTAATCAATTGCTTTATATGCTTCAGATTCTCTGAACGACTCTGATTAATGTGGAATATCTTGCAGTACTATATTTAACCTTGGTCAAGCTACTAACAACAGCCTAGATAGATCATCCACAGATTATGACGTTAGTGGAGAGGTATGAGATATACACTGTGATGGGTTGGTGAATAAACTAAGTTTTCTATATATTATTTGCACTGGATGTGGTAAACAAGAACTTTGAATAGGGAACGATCAACTTCTCTAATTTTGAAATATTTTGCAAACTATTGCTTAGGGCTTGAGAGAAGCAATAAAAAATGGTGATACAGCTTCTGCTAAGAAGCTTTTGCACCAGGTACCTTTTTTCTCCTTTTCACTTTTTTATTCTCAATGGTATGGGACTTCTAGGCTTTCTACGTGCTGATATAAAACTGAATATTTTCAAACATGTAGGGAGTGAATGCAAATTACTGTGACAAACAAGGGTCATCTTTATTACATCTGGTACTCCCTCTCTCATTCTCACTTGCATCAAAAGAAGTAAGTCATTTGAATACTCATCTGTTGGCTTCATTTAATACCATAGGCAGCAGTTTTCAATCAAACTGAGATAGCTTTTGCTCTCATGGATCATGGAGCAAGCATGATCTGCAAGAATTTACAAGGCAAGTGATTTTCATATCTTATACTTCTTCAGTTTGATTGGTTTGTGGGACAGTCTTATGGTTTTAGGACACAAATAAATGTGCTGTTACGTTAATTGTTCCCTTGGCAGTTAGAAAGAAAGGATCATGTAAATTCATAGCCTAACCTCTGTATTGTGCAAGCAAGCAAACAGCCCCCATGCTTGTCATTTGTGCAATTCTGCAAGCAAATATGGCCTATTTTTCCTTTTTGCTAGTCTTCTATTAGATAGTGTCTTCTCTAAGTTTCAGTTGGCATGTTTCACTCATCTTGACATTCTGCATTAAATATTAGGTTTGGATTCTTTAAGAGTAGGCTGCAATAAGTTCAATAAAGTAACTACTTTTCTTTTTACCGTCTCATTGTTTGTGAATTCAGGTGAAACACCACTAGATTGTGCTCCTGCCACATTGCAATACAGAATGAAGAAGAAGATGGAAGAAAGTGTAAAAGCGGATCCATGACACGGCAGTTATGAGAAACGCTCTGTTTCTACATATAGATGTGGAAAGTTGGCTTGCTGTCTGGAACAACTGGTGCTTGTAATCTAATGTTTCTGTGATTTATCCATGTATTTGGTGTTCCTGATGCTGATCAATGATCAAACTCTTAATCATAAAATCTTTGATACCCTTTTCATTCATCACCCATGTTATGAATAACAAAAGCAATGATGCGACAATTCGGTCCATTTTTAATGATGATATATTTTTGCTTCATCCGCTATTTCCTGTTGCTTCTGTTTTCTTTTATTTGGGTGGTGGTCTGGGGGTGTTTGCACATAAACACTAACACCTGCAATTTGCTTGTGTATGGAGTATGGCTTTCATAATGCAAGATCCATAAACTCTTTTTAGGTTCACTGTAGATTTTTTAGTGATGGATCCAAGTCCTCATACTTAACTGCATGTGCATGTCTGGCTGGCTGCAGACTTTAGTACTTTCATTGCAGGAGCAAGTATCCCGACTTCACTTATTTAGGTTGAACATGTGTTCTTATTCCCTGTCCATCTTGATTGCATAATCTGAAACTCGAAAAAGTAACCTTGTTCTTTCATGAATAAGACGAAAATTAGTAGCCATCTTTTATCTGGTAGATTGTAGTTGAAGCTTCCTTGAAGTTGAGGAGCACTATAAAGGTGCATTTCNTTAGTATGACCATTGGTCTCAATATGGCTAAAGCATGTTGGAGTGGATACAGATGCTGATAAAGTATTCCCTAACCGAAATGCAGGTACCTTCTTTAGCTCAAAATCATCTTCTAAAGCTACTTTATTGTTGGATAAATACGTCTACTTTTCCTCTTTTCGTACATATTATAAAACATGATTTGAGCATGCATTAGAGAAATATGAAATGGGCAATTTATGATATACAGATCTGTGTAAAAATGTCATCTTTTTCTTCTTTGGTACATAAAAATGTCTTCTTTTGAGGATATGCTCATGGGAATGTCACTGGTATACTTTTTCCATGGCCTACATTTTTGCTTTAAAAAGTCTCTTTTTATTCTTACTGGATATGAGAAAGTAAAGCAGAAAAGGAAAATGTCACCCCACCCACCCACCTCCACTTCTTCCCACACATCACCCACTGTGTGAATTTCAGGTTGTTGTATGTACCTGTCTATATCTGTCTATATCTATAAATACCTGCTTAGGCAATTTAAGAATTCCCCCCCTACCTGGCTTCCCTTTACTTGTAATTGCTATGGTTGTGAGTAATAATTTTCTGCTGTGCAAAGCAGCACTTTTATTTGCTGTCACAAGATGTCTCTTGTCCTTTGCTCACTCTCTCTTGAGTTCAATAAGCCCGTTCTCTTTTTCCTCGGAGTTGTTAATACAAAGTTTATTTAGATCCTCCTCCTCCTCTTCTTCTTGCTCATCGGCCAACCTTAAGATGGTTCGGGACTGTCTCTCCCTGACCACCTTTGGTGACATGACCCGTAGGTTGCCCGAAAGTCATGACAAGTCGTGTGCTGTGTGCTTGAACCGGTTGAGGAAGAAAAATGAGATGTGGGAGCTTAGCAACTGTTGCCATGTCTTCCACAAGCAATGTCTTGAGAGATGGCTTGATTATGATAGTCGGTTGTCATGTCCTATCTGTAGGGCGTCGTTGCTAGCTGTTAGCCCACTTCCGCCTTCTTCCCGGCAACCGCCACCACCGAGCTGGGCCGTCAAGCGAATGCTTTATTTGTTTGGCGATGATCTGCTTCCTTGTGATTGAGCCTACAATTTTGTTAAAGGCCTTCCAATTCGAGTCTTGAGAGTAGCTTGTACATAACTGGTCTGAGTTGGATCTGTAATTTGTTTAGTGTAGAAAAAGTTTAGGATTCTTAGTTACCAAAAATAAAAGGTCTCCCCAATCTTCTCTCATCAATCATGATTGTATAATTTTGACATGACTTGACTAGCGAACTAAAATTGTATGAAGTCAACTAATTTTTTTTCCAATTAAGCTAGATATACATCCTTAGTTGACACCAGGATGAGATCCTCCTAGGTGGAAAGAATCTGGGCAGTGATGGAATGGATGTGTTTAAAATCAATGGTGTAGATTGTTGCCACATAAAAGAGTGTCGAACTTGTTGTCAATCATAATGTACATGTAGCACGATTGATTATTTTTTATATAAAGTCACACTTCTCTATTGTAGTACCTCCATACCTTAGAAGCATTTTAATATATTGAATAATTTGCAACTTGCAAACTTGACAAGGATTCAATTTGCTAGATTCCAAAATATTGTATTGACTTAAAAGGAAGATATTCATATTCACACGTCTTTACGTGATTAGTAGATTCAAATGTATATGGACCATACCTAATTTAGATAGACATTGTGTTTGTTTAATTTTTATGAAGCATATTAATTGAGTAAATTGATAGAGAACTTCTATCTTTTCAAAAGTCATGTCATTCGATTTTTGACTATTAAATTGCGTAGCATGTTACCGACACCATTAAAAGAAAATTGTAATGCAGACGACAAAAAAGGGTAACCTACATTAATTTTTGGTCTGCCTTTGGATTAATACAAAATGTTGGTCAGTTTATGTTTTAAAAAATCTTTTATGTAACCTTTTCCTATCATGAAACACACTACCACATGGGAAACCAAATAATTTGAAAAACATAGAACTGTGCAATAGGAACTCGCTTATTTTTTAGGTAGACTGTGCTAGTTGTACGGGGGAGAGGGGTGGGTTTGTTGACAATCTCTCACACAAGGGGAGGGTGGGTAATTATTTTTTTTTTAATTCACTGTGGGGCCACCATTGTGAGTGATTGTCAACCATTTCGGTCAACTATGGCCGTACAAATGGTATTGCCCTTTTTAGGTGGCCAAGTTTTTCTTGTCATTGGCACTAGGAAGTTTCCTATTCACGTGGCATGCTAGGAAGTAGGATCAATCAAATTCTTATTGAATTTATGATCAAATTATCAAAAATTGTACTGACGATTTAAAAAAGCATGCTAGGAACTAGGAACGATCCACACAAGCTACGGAATTGAAGAGCAAGACACAACATGATTGTTATTCATATGGATCGAACTGCAACACAGCTAATAAAGCCTGAATTCGCCTTTCGGGTTCCTCTACCAGAGAGCCAATAGATCGCTCGCCAGTTGCGAGTTGCGATCTGCTCTTTCTCTTCCTATCACTAGGTCGGCCCGTCGGATTATAGAGCTCGACGNGAAAACCCCTCTCGATTTTTTCGATTTTGATTTTCGCAATCAGATGAAAAGATTAAGTTCATGTTTGGTACACATTAAAATTTTCATTTTCATTCTTCTACTCATTTTCAACAACATTCTTCAATAAAATAATAGTTTCTATTACATCAAATAACTTTTCCTTCTTTTTCAACAATCTACTATTTCTTCCAAAATAATGTGGCTCAAACACACCTTAAAGATTCAAATCGTTTCCCTTAGCAAACTAACATGTGCTAGCAAGAAGAAAAAAGAAGGAATGACGGGATGCTAAAGAGATGGATACAAGACGGTAGAATTATCGTGCGAAAAATATCTATGTGACGATATATACATGTATTATATAACGCCACGTAGACTGTATTTTCATCTCCACTGGGGATGAATAATATTACTCGGTTATTAAAGTATTTACTAACATAGTCTGGGCCACCGCCAAGTTCATCCCCCCATTTCCAATCATCCAAACTGTATAGCAGATGAGAACAGTATCTCTCTCTCTCTCTCTCTCGTGAATTGATTAAATTAATTATTTTATATTTTGTCACCATCGAAATTCACGTAAATCTTAAATTCCTCTCTCTCTCTCTCGTGAATTGATTAAATTAATTATTTTAGATTTTGTCACTATCGAAATTCACGTAAATCTTAAATCCTTTCGAAAAATGATGCCACTTTCCATTTTAGCATTTATTTATTTTAATGCTGAGAATAAAATATTAAAACCTTCCACTCTATACCATACATAATTGCCAGTAACAGTCGGTTTGTCTCATATACTCGACCGATTTGAGCTTCGGCAATAACTATGATTTTGTAAATCTTTTGCCGCCGTAGTCACAAATATTTACGAATTTATTTATTTAATCATGTTCAATCTCGAAGCACTAAGTGTTGTTGTTCATCAGTAAGATAGAGTAGCTCGGATATCCTAAAGCAAATCCTCGAAAAATGTATAATTTTAAGAATGCCGGAATCTAGCAATTTATTTCACTGCCTCAGACTACAGTATAGAACAGACTGAAAATATGAAGTGAGGGCTCCACCATGCTCGAACCTCGAAAATAAGTTGCTTATTTTGTGTCAAATCAAAATCTACTGTAAAAAAAAAAAAAAGGATAATTGCAGCAACGTTATCGAACCTTTCATTTAGTAATAAACTTTGCCTAAATCTTTCATTTGTGTCATACACAGTACCAAACATTTCAAAAATTCTTACCTGGAATTCAAATAGATGGTTTCCGTTAATTTGACCGTTAGATTACCAGAATAATAAAATTTGACTTATTTTAACCAATTTTTAAAATGGTAACATCGTAAATTTACATTTTTCACAAAAAAATACTTAAATTAGAACAAAAAAAAAACATACACACACACAATGTCGCCTCAAAACTAGAACATGGCATGTTAACCGTTATGCTTTGGTGATCATACAAATTCCAGAAAGCCCCAATTTTAAAACCCTGAGAAGTCATATCTCTTCTCACAATCCCCTCGTGAAAAAGGTACGAGAATTGGAGTGCATAGTACATTGACAGTAGCGGAATTGAAGTGTTTTGGGTTTTATTTCATTACTTACTAATATTCTGAGACTGATTGATGTATAACGAAGAGAGTGCAGGACATTTCCACTACCCAGATGCTTGGAGAGGGCGTGGCGCTGCAAATCTTCCTCCTCGTACTGAAGAAGGGTTTCCTCGAGGAACACGTCTTCATCGAACTCCTCTTCTTCCATGGATGTGCATTGATTCTGTTGGGGTGACGATGTCACCGGCACCGGAATAGGCTGCACTGAGTGTTTTCGGGTGTTACCATTGGTGTCCATGGGTTGTGGTGGTTGTATGGAGATAGGGAGAAGAAGATGGTTTGGATGGGTGGGTTTTTTTTTATTATTTAATTATTTTAATTTATATAAAAAATGTAAATTTACCCTCTAAACATTAGTCAAAATGTGGTTAGACCATGGACTTTTGGTCAACTAACGGTCAAATTAACGGAATCCATCCATTTGGATTCCGAGTGAGAATTTTTGAAAGGTTTGATATCGTAGGTGGCACAAATAAAAGGTTTGGACAAAATCTGCTATTAAATGAAATGTTTTATACAGTGACCGTAATTTTCCCCCCAAAAAAAGGAACATTTTTTACCTATAAGTACTTGGTCTTTATTCTTTTAACTCAAGATTACTAGTATAAAACAGACCGAAAATCTAGCTCTGGAATTCCTCTATCAACTTCAATGCCATGGCCTTCACCATTTTCAAATCTTGCCTTCTGCTATTTTCTATTTTCTTCTCAACTTCTGCACTCAATGCTACCATAGAAGAATCCCATCTCACTTTCATAAGATCATTATGCAAATCCACACCACACCCTGATGCCTGTTTAGATTCACTCAAACTCTCCATTTCTATAGGTATATCTCCAAATATTCTTAATTTTCTCCTCCAATCACTCAAAACTGCCTTGTTTGAAGGTGCAAAAGTTTCAAGTCTGTTATCAGGTGCTGGACAAACAAATCTCCTTGAAAAACAGAAAGGTAATGTGTTGGATTTTATTGTAACTCAGGTTTGGTTTTTGAGAGGAGCATTTTCTTTCACCTTGTTCCTTTGGGCCATGGTTATCTGGTCAGTGATCACCGCCGAGTGCCTGAGGGCAGTCGGGGAGAGAGAGACTCATTCTCTGAATGAGTGGGAAGATTACTGGTTTGTGGTCGTTTATATTCTTGTCTTTGTATCCATTTTCATTATTATTGAACAATACGATTCCATCTTGTTTAACAGGTACAATCCAAGATTGCAAGGAGCTGCACCAAATAACACTGTCTTCCCTAAGAAAATCCATGTCTTGGATCAGTTCATCTGATTCAAGAAAATTATCTGATTCCAGGGCATTTCTTAGTGCAGCTCTAACTAACAAAATCACTTGTTTAGAAGGCCTAAACCTTGCTTCTGGCCCTCTAAAATCATCTTTACTTTATTCATTGATAACAACTTATAAGTATGTAAGCAATTCCCTGTCATTTCTCTCCAGGCCAGGTGCACCCACAGGCCATAAAAACCGGCGGCTTCTGGGTGTTCCAGGGTGGATGTCAAGAAAATGTCGCCGGATTTTGCAGAGTTCTGGCGATGAATATGATCCCAACGATGTGCTCACGGTAGCTGCAGATGGAACAGGGAACTTTACTACGATTAATGAAGCAATAAATTTCGCTCCGAGTAACAGTGTTGATAGAATAATCATTTACATTAAAGAAGGGGTGTATCAAGAAAATGTGGAAATTCCAAGTTGGAAGCCTAACATTGTTCTTCTTGGTGACGGGATTGATGTCACTGTAATTAGTGGTAATAGAAGTGTAGCCGATGGTTGGACTACTTTCAGATCTGCAACTGTAGGTAAACTCAAATTAGGTGAACTTTAAGGAAGTGTAAAATTTATGAATTCCTGTTTGGCACCCATTCTATTCTCATTCTCATTCTCATTTTTTTCTCTTTTTTCATTTCAACCACACATTCTTCCAATAAAATAATATTACACACAAATCTAAAACTTTTCAATGTTTTCATTACTTTTTCACCACACATTCTCCCATCAATCACTATTCCAAAAATTCTCATTCCCATAAAATGGGTGTCAAACATAGTGGCTAAATGAATGCTTGACATAGGAGTTGACCAACCTCTCACATTGCATGTAGGTCCCGACCCGAATTAAATAATGCCAACCTCCCCATGTGTGTTGTGTCATCTCCTATGTCAATCATTATATTTATGTACCAAAACTCTTTTCTCATACTACCAACTACATTGTTGCATGTAATGTTTAAGCTTATTTATATCGAAGTTACAAATTTACATACATAAATTTCTTTCGTCCCGAACAGTTTAGGTAGTTCAATATAATATCAGATTGGTCAAAGATCGCAAGCCACCTACTTATGCATGTTAGAGGCACCACAAAACTACAAATACCCAATAATTTTTTCTCTATCCCTGACGGCTCGAACTTTTAGATGAGGTTATTTAGCAGTTTACATGTTTAAATCTCTATCCTCCAAATGGCGTAATTAAGTGTTAATTCATCATTCTTAAGTGCATTACATAGTGAAATTATCTGCATCATTATTACTTGGACTAACCAAGAACATGCTAGTAATGTGTTAAGCAATGTCATCTGCAGCAGTATTTCTGATCTAGTTCTCTATTTCAACCAATTTCAGCTGTTTCCGGGGAGGGGTTCTTGGCACGAGACATAACCTTCGAGAACACAGCAGGACCAGGGAAACACCAGGCAGTAGCCCTTCGTGTTAACGCAGACTTATCTGCCATCTACAGGTGCTCCATTAATGGCTACCAAGATACATTATATGTCCACTCCTTCAGACAATTCTACAGAGAATGTGACATTTCTGGGACAATCGACTACATTTTCGGAAATGCAGCAGTTGTTTTCCAGGGCTGTAACATAATCTCGAGAATGCCAATGGCAGGACAAGGTACAGTGATCACGGCACAATCCAGGGACACCCCAGATGAGGATACTGGGATTTCAATACAGAACTGTTCTATTCTGGCTACTGATGAATTGAACTCTAATTCGAGCCGTTTCAAGAGTTTTCTGGGAAGGCCCTGGAGAAATTATTCTAGAACAGTTTATTTGGAGTCCTATATTGATGATTTTATTGCACCAGAAGGGTGGACAAATTGGGTGGGGGATGAAGGTTTGGACACTTTGTATTATGGAGAGTATGAAAATTATGGCCCTGGATCAAGAACTGATGACAGAGTTACTTGGCAGGGTTTTCATTTAATGGATTACTATGATGCATCAAACTTTACAGTTTCTATGTTTGTTGCTGGAGAGGAATGGTTGGGTTCTACTTCCTTTCCTTATGATGATGGGGTTTGATTTATGTTCCGAAAATGGCTTATCAAACTCAGAAAACTTTAGCACCTGCTCAATCACCATCGCCATCTTCAAACCGTTAACAGCCTTTTGACAAGCTTAGATAGAAGTATTTGAATTCAATAGATTTCAACCGAAAATGGCTTATCAAACTCAGGCAACTTCAGCACCTGCTCAATCACCATCGCCATCTTCAAACCGTACATGAGAAGTCTTCTATCAAGCTTCGGACTAGTTCTAACCTCGGTCCTTCTCTAGCGGATCTGTCAAATCCTCGATTCCTCGCCTATATCCTCGTGTTGAATTGTCAAGAGTCGTGAAATCACATTACTGTTATGAACGAAAAGGTAACTCAATTTAGAAATGTGTACTCTGATTTCTGATAAACAATGTGGAAATTTACCTGATTTCCCTTGTGCAGTGTTTCTGGTTATCAGTACAAGAAGCAATATTTTGAGTGAATCTTAGCACAAATGACTAAAAAGGGAACAATGTTATGTAGCACTTTAACACCAGTCTATTTATTTTCATTGGGATTTATTATCTACTCGTTTTGAATAATACTATTGAGATATAGGGACTTTTGCATGTACAACCTCCAACTTTTAGGCAAAACGCCGTTTTGCGCCTTTTACTCTTAATTCTTTTTTCTTGGTATTACACTCAACCTTCTATTTTGAGGGGGACAAAAAGTTATGCGTTCAAGACATTATGCTCATTTCATGCCGTGAAAACGTGGTATATAGAAAAATGGCACGATTCGAGATAGATAATATCAAGTTTAGGTGATTTTAGGCATCTTTACGCTACTCCCATCCAAGGGAGTCACAGTGCCAAAACGCAAAGTGTGGAATTTTCTGAAATATAGTTACTTCATTTATCTCTCACACCTACAAAATTTACGAGTAACGCTGAAAAAAATAAAATAATAAAAAGAAACAGTGGCAATTGATATGAACACCCATATGTTATGCCAAAAACCGAATAAGTTGTATGCAGAATTGGGTTTTAAGAAATCAACATCAACCAAGCATTTCTTCAAGTCGACCAAAATTCTTTTCCATCGCTTCATTAATTGCTAAATTTATTGAAGATTTCAAAAATTTATTGCCCAAAAATAAATTTTACCACCAATCCCACCCTGCAATATTAAAGCCAACTTTTGATCAAATGTAAAAAGTTGCTAACTGACTCAGTATAGCATTCAACTGCAAAATCTGCTTCTCGAAGAAATCATAAAGCTCATAGAATAAAAATACAGTAAAAAGGTAAAGCAATTTCCCATAGATTGAATTCCATCAATGCCTAATGTCAAATATCAACTAATAGTATTTATGGTCTATGTACAAGTTTTGACACCCTTCATCGAGATCCTTTTCTGAGCATAAAAAATAATAATACACATCGATAGAATGGGATGGCAAATATACCACTGAGTCCCCGACAAATTTGTTTTACCACATCGAACCATGAGAACAAGATCGTACCATGTGGAACCATGTATCTACCAAATATTTCATCGAGTTTTGCTACACAAACATAATGATTGACATAAGGGATGACACCACACACACACGCATGAAGGAGGTCGACATTTTTTAATTCAGGTCGAGACCCACATGCAATGTGAGGAATCGATCAACCCCTATGTCAAGCATTATGTTCATTCAGCTTAATTCTATTTCATCAGCAAACAAGAAACAGTGCCAACATATATACAATCAAAGACCCAAAAGGATTTCCATCTAGGCCACTTCAAGCATAATTATATGCGAGCAAATCAAGAACTAGCACTGTAGTTTGCAGTGAAGGTCTCGAAGGGCAGCATACAATGGTTCAGCAGCCTTCGGTCTATCCACCGTCCCAAGAAGGATATCAGCTGTAGTTAGGTATGGATCACCATAAAACTGAAGATTCGTATCCATCCTTGTCGCAACAATGTTTCCTTCTAGTGAGACTCCCACAAACGCACCTGAGGCATCCATAACAGTTACATGAGGAACTACTAATGATCAGTTTCTGAACAAGTATAAGAATGATAAATGAACTATTCAGTAGCAGAAACGGAGGGTGAGTCCACGCAAACCACTGCTATTTCATAGAACACAAACTGGCAATACAAACCACAAACTGGCAATACAACAGATTTAAAGTACCTTGATTTCCAAGACAGATAAGAAATTGAAATGTACTACCTTTACTGCAGCTGTAAGTGTAACACATGCCAGAACCTTTCTCTCCAGCTCGCAAATCGGCCTCCACAACTCTCCCAATTGGTCCTGCTGCAGCACTGCAACCCGCACCAAGAGAAAAATGCAAGCGACTACAAAATGTTTTCACGGCCTTAGAGTCATGTAACACGATAATGAAATCCATGAGTTCACCCCCAACCTGTGATTAGGAAAAAAAAAAACGATAATCATCAGTAACAAATTATCAAAACTCACATATAATGTGATGAAACCACTCAACTAAAAGACGAATATCTCATTCTGAATAATAGTAGCTGGTGATCAAGTTTTAGTAGATAAGAACTGCAGATTGCAAGGGATTACTAATTAAGTAGAGCACCGAGATAAAACAGATAGACAAGTATAACTTCTTTACAATTCAAATGATAAACAAGTAAACAACATAAGCTTAAAGTAAAATTAACGAAATTTTGAATCAAATCAATGACACACTAGCCTAACTCATTTATGCCAGATGATCGTTTTTCTTTTGCACTATTTTTTTGTCCTGGTAAAAACATTTACACTCAATCTGGAGATGCCTGGGTATCTTTCATTTTATTTAAAATACAAAAACCAAAGCATCCCCAATTTATGTAACTCCCAGTTTGAGAACTGACGAAAAGATTGACTTCAATTTCTTAAAAATTCACGAGTACCCTATTAAACCAAAAATTCCAGAACATAAACCCCGATGATATACCTGGGCACCCCATCCCAAACCAACAGAAAGTATGGCAGATGGTGCAGACCATGACCCGTCTGACCTTCGAGCAATAACCAAGCCAGTTCCAAGTTTGTAAGCAAGTATTGCACCAGCTTTGGCAACTGTTAAAATTGCCAAACCCCTGGCTCCTTTCAAAACTGCAGCAGGTATAGATTTCTCAGGGTTCAATCGAGCAGCCTGTGCATTTCAGATTTACTCTAGTAAATTTCAGTTTCAATTAGATTAAATAATGTCCATCAGATAATTATTAAAAGCTGACAATTGATTAAAGGACCTGTAATAGAAAACCTTTTACTAGTCATTCCTCTCACCAGTGTGAAATTAATTTATTAGAAAAACTAAATAACACGGTTGTGTCTAGAATCAACAGAAACAATAACTTGCAGAAAGCATGCAAAAGAATAGGAGTAGAACCTGACAATAACTCCTCAATGTATTAGCGGACTTGTATATCTCGTGTTCCATGGACAAACCCACTGGAAGATTCAGCCACCCTCTTGAGCAAGTCCAGTCCATGACATCATGCTTTGCAACCTGCACAGCGTTGCTGATTGTTTTGATTAATACTCCTTGCAATGGATCAAGCCTATCATAGCAGGTATCGCAAACCCTCTGCGGATTCCTCTCTCTAAACTTAAAAGGTAATAAGCATCTCCCTTTCGAGCAGACCCTGCAAAAAATCCCTCCACAAAACCGACAATGATGTCTTCCACGAGTCAAAGCTGTGAAATGAGCGTTGCACTGCATACAAACTGAGGCGGAACTGTCCGGAAGCCACTCAGGAGGTTCAGCTTCCAACACCTCCTTGTAAGCAGTGTAATTGAAAGAATTTGGCTGAAGAAGAGGAGGTGCGCTCGGTATGTATACAGAAGCATTCAAGAATGTTTCACCATTCTTAGAAGATCCAAGAAACGAAGTGTTGGACGAGGGTAACTGGGGGAGGCTGCTTACAACAGAATGATTTTTGTTACGCCCGCTCAAAATAGCAAATACCCCACTCAATACATTTCTCAAGTTGACCTCGGGAGGGCCATCTTGTTGCTCAGAGTTGTACTGATCCTCGCCTGAATCATACCCTCCATCCACAAAATCTTCAGAATCAACTGGAAATGGATAGGAAACTTTTTGATTCGAGGACTTCGGACTCTGACCTTCTAGCGGATCCCAGGCACTATCGTCAAAGTCATCTATATAGCTAAGCTTGCTATTCTCTTTTTCCTTATTGGAAAGAGACGAGAATGAAAATTTCCCTTCTAAGGTTGCCATAAATCATGCCCCACACTGTGAATGGTGCCAATTAACACGAAAACATCAAAACCAAAATCGTACAGAAGAAATAAAATAAGGCATGCGCAGTTTTAACGTTTTTCTGTCGTTATCTGCATCATAAAATATCTAACGACATAGAAATAAAACAATATGAAGCAGAATTCTAACTATAGCAGAAAATGGGTAAAAATCATTAATCATAAGCAAAAAAAAAAAAAAATACATTAAATTATGCAATTTTCAAGCTAAAAATTTTTAAAATCGGAGATGAAACCAAATGGAAATAAATATGTGAAAGAATTAGCAATTTCATAAGGGTAAAATCAACCGGAATCAAGCACACGTAAAAGAAAATGTCAAAAAGTTTCAACAAAACGCTAGGACGCTCACCATATACTAATCTATATCAATCTATCGAATACAGTAATTATCGAATTAACGTAATTGAATTATTAATATATTTCAGGTTTGGGAATATTGAGCTACCCAGTTCAGGAAATCCTAATTTGTGGGTTTTGCAAGGGTTAGCTTCTCTAGGTTATATGAAAAAATAATAATTAAAAAATCCAGAATTAAATGGTAATAAGTGATGAATTAATCATATATATATATATATATATATATATAGATTAAAGTTACCTGATTATTTTTGAATTTAGGGAGGATTGAAGGTGAAGAAAGATTCTGTTTCGCTGAAGCAACACGGATTTTAATTGGTTTTCGTGAGCTTGAAGACGAATATCGTTCTGAAAAAACCAATTTTGGGGGTATTAGATTTCATAGTGTATATAATAATAATAATAATTTTGCGGCTTGGCTTGGCTTGGCTTGGGGTGGCGTGGTGGCGCATGGGGCTTTTCAGTACAAGTCAGCTGAGCCTAGTTTGATTACAGATATGTGGGCTGAATCAGAAGTCCATCTCCAAGCCCATTAAGTAGCCCAAAGGACAAAACCGAATTATTCTTTCTTGGAGAACTGTCAAATATTGATTTTTTTTTTTTTCTTTCAAATACTTGGGATATAATTTATTGCCTCCATTAGCTTTCCCGTTACTCACATTAATAGCTCGCTACATCAATTCTTGTTAGCAAATGATAAGATGACGTATCAAATGTGACGTTAGCATATCGTATTACACAGATGAGAGTACCTTTTATCTTATTCCATGTAGGACGTAAACGATACACCAACTCAATTCAATAAATTTAATCCTTACAAAAGGGGCTAAGATAATAAAAAACCCACCCTAAGAAAAATCACTTTTAAGGAAAAATAATTAAATATTTTTTAGTTTTTCAATATTGTACATTTCTTAATACAATGTAGTACCAAATATCGTATTAAAACAATACATTATAATCCAGCTTAATCCTATCCTGCCTAATCCAATATAGCAAATCAAGCATGCCCCCAAAAAGCGCCCATAATTTTATGTAAAAGTTATGAAATGAGGCATCAAAATCTCAGTACGGACAGAAGATGTCATTGTGTTCAAAAGGGGTCTTTATTATAGGAAACTTTCACAAGTGAGAGAGATCCATGATTTCACTAACATAAGAAATCATGTCCAGGTCAAATTCTGGAGCAATAAAAAGACTCCATATAAAAGCAAGAGGAAAAATGAAAACAGTAAACTCCATCAGACTCGTAGTTTCTTTCCAGGATGTGACTCTTCATCATACATTCTGCTATCATCAAATTTGTCACCCTTCTCCTTCTTTTTGGCCAGTATTTGGTTAATCTTGTGAAGATCATTAGAAAGTTTCTGTTCTCTGTTCTGTTTTCGAGTCTTGCGGCCATCTTGCATCTTTACGCCAAACTGGAATGCAGCTTTTGGCATCGCTTCCTTTTGCTCGTTGTATTTTGCCCACTCCTCTTCCGTCTCAAAGTCCCACCGATGGAGGCGTCCCTTGGCCTATAAGAAAATTCAATGAGAATTTCGTCGTGTAATCACCCTTAAATAAAACATAATCTCTAATATGACATCTCAAGGACGACTGGCCTGCAGAGAATATAATATTCAGCAAGACCAGAAAATCACTTACTCGTCCGCCCATATCCATTTTTGTCAAATCAGCTTCATCGTCACTGTCAACAATCTCCCGATTATATTCTTGGTAACCAGGATAGCATTCAGAGTAACTCTCAGATACGAAATTGGGATCCTTTTCCCTAGAGTCTTTCTCCCTTAATTGCTGAAGCCTGTGATCATCCCTCTTGAACACTGACCCTAAGCCCCTGTCCTTCTCTTCTTGAGTCATGAAGTGTGGGTCCTGCAGAACGTTTAAACCGGTGTGCATATCATATGCCTGAATGTCTTGCTGTAGATATTGCTCCGGGTAAGAAAGTTGTTCAGCATATTGGTAGTCCTGCCACTCTCCCTGATAACCACCAGCCAGTGCTTGTGCTTGCAAAGCATCATATCCGTTCTTAACATGGAAAAATAAACATTGAGAAAAAAATTGAAAAGAGAAAAATTGAAAAGATGACACGAAAGGAAAAGAAATTAAAAGTCAAGCGTCAGTTGCTATTGGAAGAAGAGTAAAAAATATGTCTCATGTATAAGAAATTTCCAAGTCATGCAAAGTCTCGCGTTCAGTGCAACTGCGAGCTAAAACCGAAATAACGCTCACCATTTGTTGCCAATCATGAGATGGCTCTGTGGGAGGAACTGGGCCGTAGGTAAGTTCACTGATATAGGAAGTCCTCTCTTTATTGTGGGGAGATTCTTCCATATCCTCTGAAATTGGGCTTTGGCTCATATCCTTACTGGGAATAGAATAGTCAATACCATCCCCCACAAATATATCTTCCTCTTCTTTCCTTACAGCAGTTGGTCCGGGTTTCTCTTTTGAATCAGGATAATTCTTTTTGAGAGGTGGTGGAGGTGGTGGTAGGGTTTCTCCCACATTCTGATTCTTCAGCATATCAGACCTCAACACCCTCTTATCTTCATCGAACCCATTAGAGGCAATTGATAGCTTTCCTGTAATAAAAATGCTTACATTATATAGCAGCATAAAAGTTGACAAACAAAGGGAATGAACCTGAATTTGGCAAAATGTACAACCATGTACAATAACAAAATTGAGATGATGACCAAGTGCAGAACATAAGCATCCAGAGTAAAAATATATATTGCAGTTATAACAAAATGAGGTGCCCCTCAGTTCAATATCATCTAAATATTCAATTCAACAGAAATTCGTCATTACTGCACGAGGTTCAGCAAACGCGGGAAAATTTGAAGTGAACAAGCATGTGCTGATTATGAGAATTCTATCTGTTCTTTCTGCAAGCGGGAACTAATCCGCTCGTCTAGATTAGATAAAAAGTCATTAGGCACAGTGCAAGGGTATTGTGATTATTGAGCTTTAAATAATGAAAAGTGATTGGCGGTAAAATAGAATGAACTGTAACCAGACTGATATTAAATATTTATTCCCAAAAATAAAAAGATTGACACCTTGTTCGAAAAAAATATACATATCATCAGAGCACCTTTTCCATCCTTTTCTTTCTTCTTCTTCTTCAGAACTTTCCCTGATGATCCAAGACGAAGATATGACATAATCTTAGCAATTCGATCTAAAACAGAACCATCGACGCTAACCGTAACCATTTCCTGAAATAGGAAAGAAAGAAAGAAATATCATAAATAAAAAACAAAATCCATTAAGTGAAGGATAGACAAAAAAAGAAAAATTAAGTACCTCGGGAACAGGACAATCAGCTTTACTTCGGTGCACCGTGGTTGGAATATCATGAGAAAACCCACTTTCCTGGCACATATGAACCATATTTTTTTTATTGGAAGATAATGCCAATCAAAATCTTTTGCACAAGTAGGAAAAACAAGAATTTTTAAGTCTCTGATACTCGTGTAAACATTGTTTCTACAAGCGCACATTAAACAAGAACAGTTACTTAAGCAGTCCCAATTCTCTGTTCAAAACATATTACTAAAGGAAAATATCATATCAGGACAAAGCCAAACTAAGTAGGACAAGATGTGCTATAAATTGCATTCATTTAAATGCATTTCACAAAATGAAAAAAGTAAACACACTCCTGACTCCTGCATGACAAGAATTAGGATGATGTAACAGCACCAATGAAATAATGGTTAGTGGGAAGAATAGTTGACTACAAACCCTGGTGCCTCAGTCCACAGACAAGGTGCAAAGGCAATGCACCAAAGCACAAAAACATATATCATACTGACACCACTTCAACAGAACCTCAAGAACGTGTATTTCTGTTCTTCCTCTTTATATGTCAGCATATATCGCAAGTTTTTAGTACATCAGCTATTCAGATCATAAATGGAGAAGCTGACAACTTAATATATGCAAGCAACCTAAACCATACTAGGTTAGGTCTGTCAGACCCATATACAGGACTTCATAGAAACCCTTAAAACAAGAAAACAACCGCCGCTACTGAAAAAGATAGCATCCATCAAAAACATATAACTCATGAATTCCTTAGATAAATGAACATGAAACAAAAAGAAAGCTACAGATGACTGGAATGAAGGGAAGCAAAAACTTACCATGTTGTAAATGAAAGCCATTCGTCCAGGAAGGAACATTTCATTGGTCTTGATAACAGTTTGGGGCTTAACAATCCACTGATAAACTGACTGAAACAAGTATAGTAGTATACCATGATTACTTTGTAGGAAAAAATTCAAAAACATTAAGCAGCTTCAAACTTCTTAATGAATTCCAGTAAATATGCACCTTTGCTGTTGCGGTGCGGAATGACAACGGTTGATCTTCTTTGGATTTTCTGTTCACAGAAGAGACACACTTAATGCACATAATTAACAAACCCCAATAATTGCTTAGGCAAGCATTTCTAATTACCATCAGTCAATCAGAAGTATTTGGTATAGAAACAAAACACATTTGTTGCATCATTTCGTGGATTTCCAGTAACAAAAATGCAGGTGTTCCATGCTAGCTTAAAACTACTTTCTAAAGAACGCTTGAAACTTGAAAGTTACATCTAACGAAGCCCTTGTCATAACGTTCATGGAGTAGTATTAGGAATTTTTGAGAAAAAGCTCATTCCCTATCTTTTCCCGTTTTCATTTTCCATGGAAAAACATTTCTCAGACATAGATAGTCATAGAGCATAAGACTTGAGCACTGGCTTATGGTTGTCTTGACTCGTACATCCATCCAGGACTAGCTTCCTCTCTTTGACAACCTAGGTGACTGCATAGATGCATTCTCTGAAATTGGTCAAATTCGCCACCATGAGAACCTTTTTCCTCCCGCATGATCCTTTTATATTCTCCCTCCATCTTGCTGCTGAAGGAAACCCTTACCATTGTTGAAAGCGTACGCCTTTTAACATTTTTCCTTACTAAGTACATGCATAACTCTCTCTTCGGCTTTTCGCTGAAACCAACAAGCCTAAACATAAGGTAGGTGCTTTCAGTCTGCTTTTGAGTTTGACATTCATTCCGAAAAGGTATAATCTCTTTTCTTTTTATAACATTGAAAATGGGTTCCAATTCCATGAACAGCTTTAACTAGCATTCTAAAAGCTTTTCCTTTGCATAAAATATCCAAGAAGTATATTCTTCTTTCTAAGCAACATAGTCTCGTTAACAATAATCAAACATAAATAGAAAGACATAAAAAGGGTTCAAACATTATGCACATAAAAGATAATTTTCAAAATTTAAAACACCAAATCAAGCCACTTACGTAGCTTCCCAATTAGATTCTTCTCCAATATCAGGCTTTTTATCAATTTCACTTCGCACTTTGTTAAGTAAAGCGTAATCCAACCCTTTCACCAGATGTGTGTGTTCCACATCACCTGCATGACATAACAACCTATGTAAAAGAAGGTAATATATACAGAAGAACAACTAAATTAAGAGCAGTATTCAATCAAACATTACTGTAGATAAAAAATGAAACAGATTTCACTAGCAATAGACTAGCCCACACTGCGCTCATCTCAATACAAATTCAATAAGTTTACAGAACTTCTTCTATCCAAGTCATCTCCTACGTCATCGCCGCGTCAAGGGACGAACTGAATACGACCGCCACGTGGCAGAAGAACTGATTTCGCCCTCCGCCACATAATAGACGAACTGATTTCACCTCAGCCACGTGGGACGAACTGATTTCGTCTCGCCACTCGGTGGACGAATTGATTTCATCTGCCACCCCGACGGATGCAAAGGTCCGCACTCCGCATCACTTCATCGCAACCGAAACTAAGTCCGAAGTGATGACATCCAAAACGCGATTATCAGTCCTGCCACAACAGCTCCACTTCAACCCTTTGTATTAGAAGATCTTTTATGTAACAATCTCAAGAACCAAATCCTTAGAACTGATTGATGGGACGTATAGCAAACTCCAAAATGTCAAGTCACGCATTACTGTGTCAGGGGCATTAAATGAACCGCTCACCTATGAACTGATGGATTGATACCTACGAGAGGACTGCCCTAGATTTAGAGCCACGTGTTTCACATCCAACGGTTCTTCTCTTATTCCCTTCTCATTATAAATACCCACGCGTGCACTATAGAAGGGGTTGGTCCCTGAAAAGAGAGGAGAAACACAAGTCTTATATTATCACCATCCCCTCCTTACATCACCACAAACATTATATTCCGACGAATATCATCGTCGAACGTCTCAGATTCCATCTACCCACTAACTTGACCGTCGGAGCGCTCGCGGCCACTTCCACCCCCACTGGAAAGGGCCACGAGCGACTAACGGTGTGTTCATACGCGCAGGAAGGAGCTCAAGTGGAAAAACTCTGTTGGCCACATGTTTAGGTCATTTTTGGGGTCAACATCTTCCTTTAGTAAGAGGTTGCAGAAAGTCTCGATAAAACCCTTATGAAAACTAAATTTAGTTTGGATCTCAGAATAGAATTGTCAAAACATTCCTCTTTCTTTACGGGTCTGATAAGGAATGCTTGAAGAACAAAACAACGGCTTAAAAAAATTGGATGCAATTCGGCTAACAGACACCAACTAATAGATAATATTGAGGACAGATATTACTCTATTTTATGGTTGCCTAAAATTATTATGCATTATTATCCATTGTCCCTATTGAAAGTTTAAAACTGAAAGACCCAGTACATGTACACCCATTCTATATTAGAAGTATAATAAATAATTAATCCCAAACCACTTACCTCCAAGATATTTACTCTTCTCTATAGATAGCTTGTGAGCATCAGCGGACCTATAAGTATCGTCCAAATGAGCAATTAAATACAGTGATTATTTAAAATTAGAATGCACAGAGAATTTTAAAAAAAAATGGCATCTCACCCAAGATCCACAGTTCCCGGTGGAGCAACAGCGTGGAAAGATGTCAATTCAGAAATTTCATAATCCGGATTCTGATCCTCTCTCCTCTCTTTTGCTCGGTCTCTGTATTTCGGCAGATCATGCTCTTCCACCTTCTCCTCTTTACTGTAACAACCAATGTATCACCATCATTACTTCTATACTATTCTTCTCGGGTAAAAAATAACTCCAAATAATACCATGAAGCTAATTAACAAAAAAAATAATTATAATGACGAAAAAACAGAAAAAGGGCGAAGAATAGAAAAAGACAAGAATTTCATTCACAAAAATAATCCCATATACGTTAATTAACTAAAAATTAACTGTAATGAAAGACCCAAAAACACAGAAAAGGGAGAAAAGTAGAAAAAAGTCGAGAATTTCATTTACAAAACAGCCCCAAATACGCTAATTAACTAAAAGCCCATTATAATAAAACATTAAAAAAAATCCCAACAGGGAGAAAAAATACCGACAATTGAACAGCAAAATCAAACAAGTAAAACATCATTAGTTAAAACGGAAAATATTGTAGAAGAACGCGTACTTTATCCGACGAGCTATCTTCTCTTTGTGATGACGCTTGTTCGACGACATTGGTAGACGAGGATTTGATGATAATATTGATGTTCACTTTATTTGATTCCGGAGATTGATTTAGGGTTTGAATTTCGCGGTTAGGGCTATTTCAACGAAAAACTTCTATCAGTTCGTTAGAGGCCGGTGGGACTGGGGTCTAGACCAGGGGTCCAGGTCACCAGGATATGATCTCAATGGTGCTTGTTTGGCTAAGCCAGACTTAGCCCCTATTCATCATTTTTTTTAAAAATATAATTTTTTTTTTGGATAAAGTTTAATTAAAATATATGAATAATAATGATAATAATAATTTGAGGATATAAATAATTTTTTTATAACTGAAAATTATTTTTTTCAATTATTAATTTTAATCATATATTTCATGGAATATATAACTTCTCAATCACACATTCAATTATTTTTTATCAAAATTTACTAAATATCTGCTTTTTTTCAAAACCAAACAGCGTTTACTGTCAAAAAACAATTAATTTAAGTGACTGGTTGAAATTAAACCATATAATAAATTATTATTATTATTTATACAAATAATCCCTATCGTTTTACATAACATGGACCCAAGCACAGCATAAAAAAGCATCATGGGTAATTAGCACATAACATCCCCATCTTTCATTGTTATTGTGAAAAACATCACTAACTTTTATTTTTTGGCATTTTCACCTTATTTTCACATTTCATTGCTTAAAATGTCATTTTCATCAATTTTCTCAATTAAAAATTGTGAAATGACGAAAATACTCTTTCATAAAACAAAAGAAAAAAATAATTGTAATCATAATCCCAATTTTTTTGAAAAACGCAAATGAGTCACAAATAAATTATTACATAATGTATCTATATTTCACATTTATTGTGAAAAATGTTCATACCTTTCCTTTTTTTGGCATTTCACCCTTAATTACACATTTGATTGTGCAAACCATCATCTCCATCAATTTTCATTCAATTTCTCAATAAAGAAATGTGAAATAATGAATATACCATAATACTTAAATAAGAAATATTTTTTTTAATTTCTAATTCTTTAATAATTTATTTAGAACTCGTTTGCACTTTTTAATTTTTTAAATAAATTTAATTGGGACTCGTTTGCACTTTTCATAAAAAAATTAAATTTTTTAAAATAATTTATTGGGGACTTATTTGTACTTTTTTTAAAAATGGACTATGGTTGTAATTAATTCTTTAACTATTTTATTTAAATAAAATGGTATGTTCATCATCCCACTGTTTTTTATTGAGAAATTGGATGAAAATAAATAGAAATAATGATTTGAGCTATCAAATTATAATTAAGGGAGAAAATGCCCAAAAAAATAAAAGGTATGGATGTTTTTCGAAATAATAGTGAAATGTATGAATATTATATGCTAATTACCCTTTTAGTAATTTATTTGAGACTCATTTGCACTTTTCAAAAAAGTTAGGACTATGTTTACAATTATTTTTTTCTTTTGTTTTATTTAAAGGGAATGGTATTTTCATTATTTCACAATTTTTAATTGAAAAAATGGATAAAAAAAGACCTTTTGAGCAATGAATGGTGAAAGTAATGGTAAAAATATCAAAAAATGAAAGGTATGATCATGTTCCATAGTAACAGTGAAATGTCTAGACGTTATGTGCAATTTACCCAAAGCATCAATATAGGTTCAACTTGTTAACAGCGGAATTGGACAAAAATGACCATTTGTACCAATAAAGGTTGAAATAGGTATCTCACTGCCAAAAGTAGAAGGATAAGTCCTCGATCCACAATATACGCAAACAATAGAGAGACCATTTGTACAAAAAAAACATGTAAATAAATTTGATCGATTTGCCTGCTTGACTCTTCTACTGAGAACCGAGTCGAGCAGAGGGTCAACCTCCGTTGTTGAAATTGGAGCAACAAATGTAGCATTCGCTAAGATACTAGGTATTTCTGGACTAAGCAAAAGGAATACAAGCACCTAATAAACTCTCCATAGAGATAAAAGGAAGTCGGAGAATCAATTAAGAAGTGGTCTTATAATTGTTACACCAAATCAACAAAACAAAGCAAATCAAGAAAAAATTCGATTAGCCTCTGACCAGAAACCATACTCTCCCTAGGGTGTGGCTTAAATGTTATCCCTCGCACGCTTTGATCAATAATAGCAATATACTGGATCTTGTCAGCCAAGTATGGGGAATATGCGAGCGATATGCTCCAATGGAATACCATCAACGGTACTTTTCTTGATATCTGGATGGTTGAATTCATTGCTAGGGAGAATAATGAGTTGGCCCTTATCCGGACTCTTCTCTATAGCCCAGCCCGAGTTGGCGACATGATGCTCAATGAACTTGTCCAGAGACAGACCTTCAATGTTGATCGCCTGTGAAATATCCATCACCAATTACAATAAGCACAAGCTAAATTCACAACTAAAACTAACTTGCAAAGTAGCTAACTGAGGGTACACAGAGAAGCCTTAATCACTATTCCTACTTGAGAAAGCTAGTCGAGAGCTTTCTCCAGGCACTAAAAATTATTACTAAGAACTTGGCAGGAAAATAACTATCAGGACAGAAAACCATACCTCGGCAAGAACAGATCTCGGAACCCTCTGGTAAGTCAGTGACAGTACGTGAACTGAATAAGCCTGAACTGCTTGTTCAAACCCTGAATTTTACATGCAACGTTATTAGATGTACGTACTGTGCATATCCGACAACAGAATGCAGCAAACAACGTAAAGATTTCCAGGAAGTAATCTGTGCTGTTTGTCCCAGGGAACAGAGGAGAGGAAGACAATAACAAACCAAGATTTATCTTATCTTTCCCAAAATGAAAATATCAACCAGCAATTTCCTAATACCGCAAGCTAACTCCACATATCATAATGAAAATGGATTCATCGTTGCATTTAGACTCACGATTAGTAGAAAAGCAAACGGAAATGAAATGCCTCCATCAATCACGCATTAATCATCTCTTTTCTTTTAATAAAATAGCCTTCACAAAAATATGCACTCCTTGCCATATGACAAAAACTTGGAAGTTATAGTGTGTCAAGGGTTCATAGTTGCTGCCTCCCTCTGCCCCAAATACATACAGCCAATCAATCAGGTGTGAATACAAACCTCTATGAAAGATTATCCATTACGAAAATCAGAATGCATCTCTATAGTCTCCACTTACATCGGTTCATCTTATATTAACCCAATTCTTAACTTCCACAAGTCCTTTATGTTACAGACTTACAGTAGAACTTTGAGAAAACAGATTACTTCTAATGAACTTAACATAGACACCAACAACATGCAGTACATAATCAATGAATTTAGATGCGGGACAAAACAAGCAACACTAGATATTTTGGAAATACCTGGTACAGCATCTACTACGTGGCGGCTCTTAGCTGCTTCGTCCCAAAACTGGCGGAACCTGGCTGTCTGAAGATGAAAACGTAGGAACATAATGAGATCTATGTCTTACCATCATATGCCAATTCAGATATTCAACCAAAGTACTTTGTTTCAAGAACTAAAGAATATGCAGTCCAAAAAATACCTCCAAGTAGTGTGAGAGAACGCTGAGAGTCTTATTGACAAGAAGGTAAACGACCATTAACGTTATTCGTAAGAGAGTCAATCAGAGGAAAGTGAAAAGAGTGTCTCAAATGTAAGCAATATTTAACTAAAACTAGACTGAAGCCAATGCGATATAAAACTTGCACGAGTCTGATAAGCAAATCAAAATTGCATTAATAGTGGAATATGAGCATGTACACGCAAGGCATGAAAAACTATCTGAGCGCGCATTTCTTCTATAAAGCCAAGAAAAATGTTTGTTTATTATATAATGGTGCCCAATAGTTTTTGACTTGGTAGGTTTATTATATAATAAAAGCTATAATATGTTGTGTCTGCTCTAATTCCTCATTCTCATCCAGAAACCAGTGGACTTGAAATGCTCATTCACATGGTAAAATGAATAGCATAGAAATTATTAAGACTGACACTCTCAATGAAGAAGTTTTCTTACATTTCACAACTAAACACAATTTTTGCGGATTCACAAACAAAAAATTTTACAATGCTAAGTCTGACACTCTTAATCAGCCAGTACTTCAAGCATATCTTTAGAAAGGCAACATGCCTAGATTATGAACATAGTCAACTGTACCATTTGGCTGGAGGACAAGGCCTATAGCTGCTGCTGTGCAGTTACAAACTCATCTAAGACACCATTAATCCACAGCTTCAAAATTCCTAAAAGTTAACCTAATACTTGTGAAAACCACTTTTACTTGGAGGGATGCACTTGAAAATCGTCAATAATCAGATACAATTTGAATTGAGTCATTTCTAATCCTATTTCTGACTTCCCAATTATTACCAAACAACAGTCCCTCTATTTCATTAGTTCACATTAGCATTGTGAATGGTATTGGAAAATTATGTTCAATGTCATTCCTAAACTGTAACTTGACATTGGGTAGTGCAATAACCAGCGATAATAAAATAGGCACTAATCTTCAAATGCATTAATTACAAAAAAA